ACGCTCTTTGGTGAAGAGCGTACAAATTTTGGCTCTTCCTGTAACACATTGCGCGTTTTCTGCAATGGGGGATGCTTCGTCATACAAACCCCAATATGTTTCGCTGCGCTAAACTGGCCGGCGCTCGTCAAAGCATACTGGTTTTTCCTTGATGCAGGTAGCTCGCTTACAAAACACTAGAACCACGACAAGATCACCTTGTTGTAGGCGAGTTTCTGTAGATTTGCGGCATATTTTTAAATTTCTGAGAGGATGTCTAGAAAAAAAGTTATGACCATTTTTCCGCGGAAAAAGTAAAACATTGCGGTAAACTGGTCGAGCACCTTAGGATAGGCATTTTGTAACCCAATGTATGTTTTTTAGTGGAGAGTACAATTGATTTCGCGACGCGCTTCAGATAAACGCTCTGCATCTACTCCTCATCGCGTGGATGATGATCGGTACATATATATGTATGCGGAGACGCTGGGTTGGGTGGTCACTCACTTACATGACTTGCTTCATAGCTTCCAGGTCGACTGCGTCTCACTACAGTGCCTACAGCAATAATGTAGTCTGGGCTCAAAAATTAGTCTGGCTTCAAAATTAGTCTGGGCCAGACTAATTCGTGTCGAGCAAAAATTAACGTCTTCATTCTCTAGAAATTGTAGGACATGACACTCTGTAAGGGTTTTGGCCAGTTTAGTAGAATTGACCAGTTTAGTAGAACCAGTAATATTGCAGAAATAATGAAATACGTGCTTTGGTTGGCTATAAAACTCTTACCACGCGTTTCCATATGGTAGTTCGATACAAAGACCAGTATTATTCCGCTCTACTAAACTGATCGCAGCATACTGTACTTATGTTTTCTTTGGCGCGCTACAATAGCACTTTCATAGCTGCTAACTGTGTCTGGATTGGTAGACATGTTAGAGCAAATCTAGGGCTTTCATTGTGTACACGTTTTATCTCCAAAAGATTAGTAGTTTTCAAGAAAATACTTTTCAAAGTCAAAAATTCAGCTTGCTCTACTAAACTGGCCAATCCCCTTATTCCTAGAAATGCAGGACTTCGTGTCCGGTATTTTCCAATTGAAACAGTTGGCGGGACCCCGGGGTCCCCCATCCAAAATAATCGGTATCGGCAATTATTTATTTTCATCAAGGGCAGCGTTGAAACGACCGAGGGTCCTACCATTTTCGCTTAAGCTTCGTAAGTAAATGGCACGATGCCGCGGAGGTGGCTCCCAGAACCTCAGACCGATACGTAAAAGAAAAAAAGCCTCTGATCGGAAGCAAGCAGCGTACAAGCGAGCCGTAGCCATCCTGGGGGAGGAGCGAGTTCAGCAGATCCGTCGGGATTGGGACTCATGGGACACAAGCTATGGCGGAAAAGAGTGGCAGCAGTCGGAAGGTGTCGTGCTTCAGCTTCTACAATTAGGACTCTCGGAACGTGTGATTAGAGCGATCATACCGGTCGGTGGAAGTTGCGTAGCAAGACTAAGGAAGGTGCTAGAGGTTGGAATTGAGTCGTTGCACACAAGGCGCGCAAAACTTACACACTGGCACACATTCACAGAGGACGATGTTGCTCGTTTCAAAGCGCATTGTGCTACGTGGATATTGGAGGATGGGTTTCCGTGCGCCCACCGACACCCGCGGCAGTACTTCACTGAGCCCAAGCTGACGTGGAAGATTGTACACGCTCGCTATGTGGACGATATCGCCCGAATCAACCCAGATGCCCGCACACTAAGTTACTCCCACTTCATCCAGTACAAGCGGTACTACTTTCCTGGTGTCCGTCTAAAACGAACAGCGGAGGATGTCTGTGACTGCTGCGTCCGCCTAGATATTTTGCTTCAGCAGCCCGATATTTCTGAGGAAGAGCGCGAGGTTGTACTACTGGAACAGAAAACTCACCTTAACGAAGCAATCGCTCAGCGGCGATTCGTGCCCAACTTTGTCAAAGATTATACGGCTTTGCATGCGCCTCAGCAGATTTTACCTGATGTGGTTATCCCTCATACAATCGACGACGTTGCTGCTGACGACGAAACTGACCTGGCTGGTGATGCAGATGCGACCACAGAGAGTCTACTGTCGTGTTCAAATTCAAGCATAAGATTATGGAGGTGGTATTTCGATGCCATACTATGCTCTTTGTCGCCCATCAGCAGATTACTTCAACAGCAACCTCATGATCCAGAATTTTGTAATTGCAGACATTACGAATGAGCAGAACAACGTGTACTTTTAAGAGTACCTGAACTACTACCCCGATGTACCTGAGACGATCATGAACGCATCTTCACCATCTAGCGCGGCGGTTAACAAATCTACGTCTAAAACCCCACCGAAACGGAATCCTGGCCGGACTAAAAAGAAGAAGGCCGGCCTGAAATCTAACCAGCCATCTATCCTGCAGTTCTTTAGCTCGTCAACGAAGTAGGCGAACGGAGAGAAGGAGACTTGCTTTTCCTTTAGCTAACACATACATTTTTCAATACATCTGATGATTTGATACCGGCATGTGATGAGAGAACCGGGGTCCAGGTGGGACCCCAGAGTTCCGCCATCCTTTTCAATTGCAAAGACAAATAATCAACTCATAAACAGGGATTTAGTATAGACTCAGTAAAAGTGCCAGTTTTACCCACTTTTGCAGGACATATTTCCGGCCAGCGTCAGTATTCAAAAATCCATATTACTCCCCCCTCGTCGATTGGGACCAGCTAGCGAGAGAAGTTAGCGAGATCAAGAGCAATACCAGTCGCGAGCAGTGTACCAAAACTCCTACGGCCGCTTCATTGTCTGAGTCATCGCCAACAAGGCCCATCTCGGGGCTCCTGCTTTCGCAGCGAGGCTAGGGAACATTGGTGTATCAACATCTGTGGGCCACCGCAAAGCACCCGGGACTTACGCCCCTATGTATTAATCTCACTACAACAAGCAGCAGCTCGTTCTCGTCCTGCTACTCGCCCTCGCCGTTCTGCGGCTTGCTCTCGACCACCAGCTCGTTCTCGTCCGAGCTGCTTGTTATCGCCCGACAACTCATCCTCGTCCGGCAGCTCGTTCTCGTACGACAGCTTGTTCTCGTCCGAAAGCTTAGCATCGTCCGCCAGCACCTCATCGCCCTGCTACAGCTTGTCATCATCCTGCTGCAGCTCGTTCTCATGCGTGAACTCGTTCTCACCCGACAGCTCGTCCCCGCCTGGCGGCTCGTTCGTCTAACAACTTGTCATTGACCAACAGTAACTATTCGTCGTTCACCAGGGCGTCAACGTCCGCCAGTTCGTCTTCGTCGGACAGCTCGTCGCGCGCTGCTGCAATGGCTGATAGCGCCCCCACTTGCTCTCATCTGGGTAAATATCCGCTAGAGCTAGCCCGAAGATCCTTCGTGTGCGGTTATCCGCATCGTTGCCACTTGGGGTAGTCGTTGCCGCTTGGGATCTACAACCACCGCCGCGTTCAGCACTCCAGCGTCCACATTGTTCACCGTCTGGCATGACCACAGCGCAACCTGTTACAAAATAATGATGTACGCTATCTGATGGCCATAGTTGAGGACAGAGCAAAGCGTACCGGACTGTGGCGTGCCCGTCAAAGCGTTGAGGACGCTGTTAAAACGTTCATTGCATGCGCTGACAGCATCAACGTGCCGCAACCGGTGACATTGCGGGGTCGGCGACGAGGACAGCTAAGCTGGGGTGCTGCCATCGCAAACAGCGCAAGCAGAGCAGTAACTGATTGGCCGGTTTGTTCTTCCTTCTTCGCTCCCATTGGCAAATATCTACTCATTATCAAGTCCTGCCAATGAAATGAGTCGCGTGTTTCGCGTAGCCTAGTTACTCCGTCCCAGACTCTATATTGCTAGGTTGGTGTAAAAAAAAGGCGATGCAAACCGCTACTGTACCCACAACTGGGTACAGTTCCGGTTTGTACCTTTTTCCGCATCCGCCAGGAAATGTGTGGCTCTCCGTGCCCCCCTCCCTCCTCCTCGTCCTTGGCGAAAATGGAGCTCGCTGCGTCGCTCTCCTTCTCGGGTCTCTTCGTCGACGTCTGGTAGTTGTAGGTCCTGCCGCCGATCGATGTTTTCAGCCGTCTGCGCCTTGATCTGTAGTATCGGTTCTGCTCCTTGCACGCCTTGCTCATCGGTCCTTAGCATGTCCAGCATAGCCTTGCGCCTTGATCTGTAGTATCTGTTCTTGTGCCTTGCGCTCCTCTCGCCGAATCCTCCGCCTGCCGTCGTGTTGATGGCTGAGTCCCTGTCGGGAGTCCGCCCCACGCCTTGGCCTTGTCGCGCGTCCAGTTTATCTTCCTGGGCCATGCCGTTAACCGCCCGCCCGCTACGGCGGACCCGGTCATAGCGCGCAGCGAAGCCTTCTGCGCGGCGAGTCCTTGGCCACAGCTTGCTGCCACCTCACCACCTTGCCCACAGAGACGTCCCCACAGTTCCCGCAAGGAACTAGACGCTGCCCGAAGGCAGCACCCGCAGAGCGACGCCGAGGCTCAGCTCGGCGCCGTCTACCGGGAGGGCGTCACTCCAACTCGACCAAAAAAGTCCTGCCAATAGTGGTTCTCACGGTTGGTAGGTTTGCAGGTTGCAGGTTTGGTCAATTAGCCAATCGTGGCTGACCTGCAACCTTCTAACCGTGAGGACATGAAACTTGCACTTCCAATGCTTACGCTGAATTTTATCCAATAATAGACTAGCTGATGCTGGCTGGTGGTATTCCAGAAGTCGACATGATCAAGAAAGGAACACGCGCAGCTACAGCCCTGCTTCTGCATGCCCGTATCCTGCATACCGCTTTGGAAGACTCAAGCGACGAAGATGACAGCGGTGATGAGTTAGATGACATTAATGTAGCTATTCAGGTACTAGCTACGCGCTACTTGTTTCGCAGCACCGTCCTGAAGTCTGCTGACGGGTACCCAGCGCGGATTTTCCTCATGGGCTCCGTCCGCGCTCGTCGTGTTTTAAGAATTAGCGTCGACGGTTTCTGCCTCCTGCTTGCTTCCGTAGCTCCACACCGTGTTTTCCAGCGGAAGCCAGGGAAACAGCAGCAAGCCCCAGTGCAGCTTCAGCTGGAAGTGTTCCTCTTCTCCATGCAATCGCTGTCGTACCACAATATTTCACAGCACGGGGCGTGCCCCATCAAAAACTTATGCAGAGGCTTACCTTTAATGCTTGGCGGATCTGATTCTTGCAGCCCGAAGCCCGACTGGGCTAGCTTGAGCTTGTACTCCTTGTACCCAGACTCCAACTCGGTGCACTTGGTTTTGCACTGCTCTTCGGCTTGGAGTGCTCGTGCTGGGCTAAGAATTCATGCGCGCCTTCGTAGAAGCGCTCCTTGATACCAGTGGTGTACGCCTTAACGTGGTCACTGAGGTAGTTGAGCAGCAGATGGACCTCATCAGCAGTCCACCGCTTGTTCGGCATCGTGGGGTCTAATACGATTGAATCGTGTGATCAGACCTGGGGCTAAAGTGCTTGTTGCTACTGCGTGCTTGCCGAGCTGCTTGGGTGGTGCCAGCGCCACCGCAAGTACTCCCCACTTAACCAATCATCCTTCAGCACAATTTCACCCAATTGATATTGATCTGAAATCTGCAGTCAAAACTGCTCCCACTGACAAGGAAGACAAAGGAAGCTGCATGCAGGTTTGACTGATCTCTTCTGATTGGTCAGTTTTACCTGCAACCTGCAAACCTACCAACCGTGAGAACCCCTAATGTCCTGTAAAATCTGTCTAGCAATCATTATTATTGTGCCTTTCACGAATTTTGGCGGGTGAGCTGTTAATTAGGCGAAATTAAAGTCATAAAAGGGCGATCAACGCTTATTTAGTGCTAATTCTGCCTAAGGCAAATAAGCAGTTCCATGGCCACGATCAATTTAATGTCTACCTCAGTTTCCACCAATCCGGTCGATATAGCCATCAGATTCTACGTATGATTTTCAAAAAGGAAACAATCGACTTTTGGGGGGAACCTCACAAAAGCTAATATCTAAGCCAGTCTACCAGTCTACTTCCAGCCACTTCCAAGACAAAAGCCAGAGCCCCGACAGCAATGGGGCGGATTCGCGCCAAGTACAGCGCGGAAGAGCTCGACGCAGCTGTCCAAGCTGTCCTCGCAGGGGCTCGCATGACGACGACACGCGACAAGACGGGCATTCCGTATAACACGCTCAAAAAGTACGTCGCGGACGCGCGCAATGGCATTCAGTGCACGCCGAAGCGCCGCGGACCAAAGCCGCTACTGCCACGGGAAGCTGAAGACTGTCTACGAGACTGGGTGCTGGAGCGACAAAGGGTGGGGCACCCGGTGAGCCGCCACGACCTTCTCGAGAAAGCCCAGCATGTTGCGCAAGTGGTGTGTGGTGTCTCCGTGGGAGAAGGGTGGCTGGGTCGCTTCATGCAACGCCACCCGTCTCTCACGCTCCGTTCTTCGCAGTCTGTGTCGAAGTGCCGGAACGAGATCGAGGAGCAAGATCTATCCGTGTTGTTCTCGTCGTTGGCCAAGGTCATGATCGAGGACAGCATGGGTGCTGCGCGCGTGTTCAATGTAGATGAGACCGCGGTCAACACTACTAGGGAGCACAAGCAGGTCATTGCTGCGAAAGAATCTAAGAACGTCTGGCACAAGGACGTCAAGACGCACTTCCACCTCAGCTTCATAGCGTGCGGCAGCGCAAGTGGATTCGTTGTCCCCCCTCTCTTCACCCTTCCGGGGAAGAGTGTTGACGACGATATCCTGGACAAGTGTGACATTCCGGGCGCTGGAGTTGCCATCACGGAGAAAGGGTTCATGAGATCGCCCCTTTTTGCTCAGTGGCTGCAGTTTTTTTCGGAAGGGGTCTCTACTCCTATTAGACGCCCGCTACTGCTTGTAATGGATGGGTGCAGCTCGCACATTTCGCTGCCAATTGTTGACGCTGCTGAAGCGCTTGGAATTATTCTGGTCTGTTTGCCGCCAAACGGCACCCATCTTCTCCAGCCGCTAGACGTAGCGGTATTCTCGCCTTTCAAGATATCTATCAAGCAGCTACTGGACAAGATGCTGCCAAGTATTGGCGATGGAAGTGTGGACAAGCAAACTGTGTTGGGGGTCGCAGCACTGGCTTGGAACTATACCTGTTTGGGCAGCAATCTGGTTGCTGGGTTTAAAAGCTGTGGCATCTTCCCACTCTCGCGCGTCAGTATGCATGCTAAACTAGAGAACTTCGAGCACAACGGCCTGTCGGAGCCGCTCCGAGAAGAAGCGTGGGTCCAAGTCGTCGATATCGTGAAGCGAGAGATTCTTATCCTACCAGTTCGACCCTCTAAGAAGCAAACCAAGCGCCGTCGGAAGAATACGGGCGGGCGAATTCTAACTCGCAAGATGCTTGAAGAGAAGAGCGAGCCGTTGAGCAGCACCAAGCGCGGAAAGCGATCGTTGGCGAAGAAACAGAAAGGGGCGCAGGAGCAGCCAAGGATAGTGATGGAGGCGTGGGATTAGCTTGTAGAACCTGATAAAACCATTGGAAAGACTTGGTCCCTGTCATTATGATATGAGCCAGTTTTGATAACACCTAGCCCTTGCTCGAACCTGTACCGTCGAATGGACAGCAATCCATAGTGAAATCCAGTCTAAGATGGACATTAAACTGCTTGGTGGCTCGACTCGATGTACCATGTTGTCAACCGTCCAGGACGCTTTAAACTGCAGGTCTCTATGCCTAAAAAACCACAAAAAGTGCCCTGTGTCTTAGCTCTCGAACCTTTCAAGTAGCTTCTCAATCCGACAATTAGTTTTGAAGTTACGGCCGTTTGTCTGCATGCCTTGCCGGATGGACATTAAACTGCTGATTTGCCTTAACATTGTGAACACTTCCCCTAACATCCGCGATCAGCATTTAGGCCCTTGTTCAAGTGGAGAACGTGTTCTGGGCTGAAAATTTCTAGCGATATGATTGGATAAAACTTTGGCGTGAATCGTACAGTTTTTGCTCGTTCGTGTTCTAGGAGCTCCGATTCCAGAACACCTACACGAGGTGTTCCCTGGGGAGCACATTTGTGCCAGGAATCACGGGCAAGGACAAGGCAGGTTTGTCTCCTCCTACGCCAATCAGCGTCCGAGTCAGGAAGCCCGTAGGAAGCCCGACAAAGTGCTCGACAACAATGCTTTCTGTGCGTTGCCGTGGGCGATGGCAACGTCGAAATGCTTTATATGTGCATCCAGTGGCTACTCTACGAGGTGTTGTTGCATGCCCAAGTGTCCTCACGCTAGGGCCTGCCGTATAATTACAGCTAGCTCACGCACTAGCGAGAGGACTCGGTACATGTGCTTGGTGGCGATTCAAAAATGACGGGAGGTCAGCAGATAAAGTCCTCCGAAATTTACTTGGACAAGCCCAGCACACGTTTTGAAAATCACAAGCACAAATCGTGCCTTAGCCAAAAGCCCTAGCCCGCACTGTAGCACAGAACACATTCCCCACCTGAACAAGGGCCTTAAGAGCCAATCGACGGAGATACGAGCAGAATGGCATGGATTGGCGGGTAGGAAACCGCCAATCGCTCTGTTTCCGCCTAGTGCAGGCTGGATTAGCTTATTCCGCCTTAACTCGGCCTCACCATCGCCGCTCCTAATTCGGCCACGAATGGTCGACCCGGAATTAACATGGGAATTAGCTAAGTCGGGGCGTAATTTAGAACGATAAGGGATTAGAGTTATGCCAGAATTATCACGGCAGAATAAGTGAAAGGCACAATACTTTATCATTTCTCAAAAATAATGATTTTCTTACTGGAAAACGGATTTTTTTGATATTCATAATTAGTCTGAATTCAAAATTAGTCTGTCACTGTTGGGGCCAGACTAATAATTGTGATCCATGAAAATTTTGCTATTCAGATTTAGTCTGGGCCAGACATTGCCGCTTGCAAATACTTTGCCCTCTAAAATAGACCACGCCTGTCTCTTAATATGAGTGGACACGAGATAGGCGAGGGCTGATTTAGCTTTATGCTTTGGTGGGGGCCGCTTTTAGGCCCAGAAACTCGGTTTGGCCCGTCTAGAATAGCATTTCTGCCTTTCCAAGTCTTGCAAAGCGTGAAACAGACCCCAACCTTGCATCTTAGACCTGTGCTGGCGAGATATATAAACCAGACCTAGGTATTAATTAAGAGCTTGCTAGACTAAAATCGAGATTATTAACGAGATAATAAGCATGCGTTGGCCAAAATATCTGCAAACGGCAATAACTAGGGCTTCGCGAAGGCTGGGATAGGATTGGTTAACTCACCTTTGATCGCCATTGATTAACTGAATCCGCACGCTCCACGGGCATCTTCTGCGGCTGCTTCGCAGCCGCAGAATCTGCCCGACAATGTATCGCCACTATGGTCACGACGTACAACCGATTTCAGAGCAAAATCAATGACGAATCTAACTCGACGAATTTGCAAATGAACTGGACCAGCCTCCATCATTCTTGAGAAGTCTAAAACACTCGGTCAATATACATCACTTACTGTAAATTGACCTAAAGACGTTACCGGTTCATCACCGGTGTCGATTGGAAGGGGGGACATCGCCCGAATTAATCCTGTTTGGGCTGGGCTATCAGCACTTCGTCGCTTCCTATCCCAGTATTACTGTAGGTACACTACTGTACTTCTTGTCATTTTTTTGCTGAACAATTATTCAATAACGAATTCTTCAATAATCAATTCCATTTGAAATGTTCAATTACATCTTGTGAAAATTAAAATGTATCCATTTGATTTTCGACTAATATTAATCGAAACCATGTGTTTCTTAGTCAAGCATGGGTCATGGTGACCTGGGTACTGTAACTCTTGGCACGTGTGCAGGTTCCCCAGCCATTGCTGCTGGTCCATCGGCAAATATTGTACAGAGCGCACCGGGTAGGTACAGTACAGTGCAGTGTACGGAGCTTTGATCACAGACTATTCTAGGATATTCTGTGGCCAACGGTGTGCACCACTGGTCTTGCTGGGCCATTGATGGGCAAACCCACTTGCACATCAAGATCAGATGATCGTCGGCAGTCATCAAAAACTACGGCACTGTATGTCTCCAAGACTCCAGCAGTTTTGGCCGGCGACCACAAGGGTCATTTCAGCTTTCGCCTCGGCCGTTTAACGTCTCTTGCTACAGGCAGACGGGATGCCTCAAGTTCCCAGCACTCGGGCGGCATCACGTCTGACGACGCTCCTGCTAACTCTGTCGGTGGTCGCTGCAGCCTCCTACCAACTCGTGTCGGCTCACGCAGCGCTACGCGGCGACGATCACGCTGAAGACGATGGCAACTTCGTTGCTCGCCGACTCAACTCCTCCCCCACCGACGAGGACAAGGCCGTGCCGTTCAACTCGTGGGACAACACCATCGACACGCTGCAATACGGACTCGCGTTCATCCTCGTGCTCTTTGCCGCCCACCCGCTCGGACTCTTCTTCCCCAAGTGTTTCAAGCTCCCTCTCATCACGGGTTATTTGGTCATCGGTATCATCGCCGGTCCGTTCGTCGCCAACCTGCTGACGGAAGATATCGTGACAATGCTCTCCAACTACGTGAGTGCTCTGGCGTTGTCGTTCATCTCGTTCCAGGCCGGTCAGGAGATCTACCTACCGGAGCTCCGGCCGCAACTCAAGTCCATCATGATTCTTCTGGGCGTTCTCTACGTGACGGCTATGATCATCCTAACCTCTGCAATTCTGGTGGCGGAGAGCGCCTTCTTCTACGATGACATGGGATTCCTATGCCAGTTGGGTATCGCGCTCATGTTCGGGTCCATCTCGGTACTCGGCTCGCCTGCGACCGTGATGGCCATCAAGATCGAGCTCAACAGTGTGGGTCCGTTCACGAGTCTGATGCTTGGCGCGACGATGACGGCGGAGTTCGTGGTGCTGGTGTCGTTCTCGATCTCGCGTATCGTGTGCTCCATTTACTGCGCCAAGCTGGACGTGTCGATACTCAACCTGGCTTACACTATGGGCGTCGTGTTGGCCAATATCGTGGTTGGCGTGATCCTGGCCGGCGTCATTATCCTGATTTTCAAGATACCCGGCGGACAGCCTCACCACGATGAGCACCATGACGTTGGGATCTCGAGACCGAGTATGATTTCGCACTTCGACGAGAGGATTAGCCACAAGATGGCCTCAGTGGATCGAGACTCGGCACCGCATCCGCACAACGCTTACAACGACGGATCGGACGCGGTGAAGCCCTCCTCGTGCTGGTCTAGCAACGTGTCGTTATCACTTAAGGGCCTCATTTGGTTGACGATGGGGTACGTGTTTTACATTTCCACCACCACCCTCGCGGAATTGACCGCCGCCGCATACGGTCTGTCATGGGAGATCAAGTTCGAGCCGCTGCTCGTGCTCATGATTGCGTCCTGCATTGCTGGGCACAACTCGGCAATTCGTCACGACATGCATGTGATCCTCGACACGGTGGCGCCGTACATGTTCTTGCCGTTCTTCGTCATGACGGGCGCGGCGTTAAAGCTGGACCAAGTGCTGGCTGCTATCCCCTTGATGAGTCTGTACGTGATTCTGCGCTACGTGGCGATCTTCATCGCCTGCTACTTTGGTGGACGCTTCCTGCTCAAGCTTACCCCGATGCAGTACAACAACTTGTGGCTGACCATGACGCCGCAGGCTGGTGTGGCGCTAGGTTTGGCCAACGAGGTGAAGGCGATGAGCAGTGAATCGTGGGCTGCCGAGTTTTCGGCGACGATCGTGGCTGCCGTGGTGGTGAACCAGATCATTGGTCCTGTGCTTTGTGCGATGGGCTTGAGCCGAGCGGGTGAAACGCTACAGGACCGTGTCATGGATAACGACATGTCCAAGGAAGATATCGACAATTCCGACTTGAGCATTCAGGACGGCCGGTTCAGCAGTATCCACGGTGGTGGGTTGAGCAGCATCCACGGCCGCAACTTTAGCAACTTCAGCCAGTTTGATGCCAGTCGACGGATGTCAGGGGCGTCGGTGACCATGGGCAACGGAGACCCTCGATCGCTGCTGCCGTTCTACAAGGTGCAAAACGCCGTTGTGATCGGCGACGACGAAGCTGCCTTTGAGATCGCGCTCAACTTGTCGCTCTACGGAGCGCAGGTCAACGTGCCTCTGCTGGACGAGGAGCGCACCAGCAAGTGGAAGAAGATGAACGAGACCATTCTCTCGCGTACCGCCAAGGGCGACCTCATCTCGTACAAGAACACCCTCAAGGACCGTGACAACGCGCAGGCCATGTCGTCGGCCGACGTCCTCATCTTCACGGGTGACGCCAACCGCACTCGGGAGAACGTGCATCTACTCAAGTCGCTGTTGGGCGCGTCTCACCCGCGTATGATCGCATTCGTGCCCGATTGCAAGTTCAGCAAGGAGATGAAGGCACAGGGAGTGCTGGTTATCCAGCCGTCGATAGCCCTGGCCAACATTGCAACGCGTATGGCGTTGCTGGACCAGAAGCTAGCCGAGGCCTTGTCCAACGAGATCAGTACGACGAGCGACTTCAACACGGCTTCGTACTTCTTGCGCGCTGATGGTGGAGAGCGTGGCTCGTTGTCGGAGATGCGTCTGGAGGGCCGGCGTCTGGCCCTTGGTCGAAGCGTGGTGAATCACCACTCGGTGGATTACGATCGCCTTGCGGAGGTGTTGGCCGCGGAGAACTTGCCGATGCCTCCTCCGCCGTCGCGTGTGGCCATGTTCGGTACATCTGGCGCCACATTCAACCCGTTTGCGAGTGAGCGCGACAACAGGTCGAACTTTTTCGTCATGCACGATGAGCGCGAGCTTGGTGGCGCCCACAGGGTTCCTCCTGGGCAGTTTGTGGCGCGCACACCTCGCATGAGCGCGTCTCCGTCTGTGCGTCCGGGGGGCGGATTCAATGCTTTGCACACTCCGCAGAGGCCGGAAGTGCACCGTTCGCTGAGTCGATCGCGCAGTTTCGACCAGAAGTATCGTTGAAGCACTTTAGCAAGGTAATTCCCTGCTGACGCTACAAGGAGGAAAGCAAGACTGCAGCAAAGGGCGAGCTGTCTTCAGCTTGTCGACGAAGTTTAGTTGTTATTAATTAGGTAGGTAATTCACTTTGTTCATGAAAGTCTTTTGGAAAGGTAGTTGAATCATCGTTACTGTAGGAACTTATCTAGGCAGGTACAGTTGTATTTTTGCTCCAACAAATTCCATTCGCGAGCAGACTGAAGTCAAAGCGGGCGACAAGCGATCTTATCCCCCGCCTCCTTGATTGCCCAGTCAACCAGGGCCATGCAGCATGTTCTGAGTCAAACCATGCGATGCACGAACGGGTAACGGACGTTGACTGTTGACGGCCGCACATGCAGGATGGCGACTTCGATATCCCACGGACACAAAGTTTACCACCAGCAGGCACACGGCACGACCGGATTTTTCACCCAGAACACAACTCAAAACGCCACACACGTGAACAATGGCGCTATGCCGCTCAACGAAAGTGCTGACGATTTTGTCCTTCGTCTTGCACTTGACCATAGTGGCCTCAACCAGCACACTACTGCGAGGGAATACTCGTGGCGAAAATGAAGACTATCTCGTCGCACGCCGTCTCAACTCCTCCCCGCACGACGAAGACAAGACCGTGCCGTTCAACTCATGGGACAACACCATCGAAACCCTCCGTTACCATCTCGCCTTTATCATCGTTCTGGTAGCCGCCCACCCGCTCGGACTCTTCTTCCCCAAGTGCTTCAAGCTCCCTCTCATCACGGGTTACTTGGTGATTGGCATCATCGCCGGACCGTTCATCGCCAACCTGTTGACGGATGGTCTTGTGAATATGCTATCGAACGATGTGAGTGCTCTGGCGTTGTCGTTCATCTCGTTCCAGGCCGGTCAGGAGATCTACCTACCGGAGCTCCGGCCGCAACTCAAGTCCATCATGATTCTGCTGGGCGCTCTCTACGTGACGGCCATGATCATCCTGACGTCCGCGATTTTGCTGACGGAGAGCGCCTTCTTCTACGATGACATGGGATTCCTATGCCAGTTGGGTATCGCGCTCATGTTCGGGTCCATCTCGGTACTCGGCTCGCCTGCGACCGTGATGGCCATCAAGATCGAGCTTAATAGTGTGGGTCCGTTCACGAGTCTGATGCTTGGCGCGACGATGACGGCGGAGTTCGTGGTGCTGGTGTCGTTCTCGATCTCGCGTATCGTGTGCTCCATTTACTGCGCCGAGCTGGACGTGTCGATACTCAACCTGGCTTACACTATGGGCGTCGTGTTGGCCAATATCGTGGTTGGCGTGATCCTGGCCGGCGTCATTATCCTCATTTTCAAGATTCCAGGTGGCCACCCCCACGGGAGCCACCACGGTGAAGCTCAAAGGACCAGCATGACACCGCACCACGGACACAACGCAGGCGTGGACTCAGCGTCTTCGTGCTTGTCTGGCAATGCGGCGCTGTCACTAAAGGGCTTCATTTGGCTGACGATGGGGTACGTGTTTTACATTTCCACCACCACCCTCGCGGAATTGACCGCCGCCGCATACGGTCTGTCATGGGAGATCAAGTTCGAGCCGCTGCTCGTGCTCATGATTGCGTCCTGCATTGCTGGGCACAACTCGGCAATTCGTCACGACATGCACGTGATTCTTGACACCGCCGCTCCCTACCTGTTCCTGCCGTTCTTCGTCATGACGGGCGCGGCGTTAAAGCTGGATCAGGTCGTGGCTGCCATTCCCCTCATGAGTGTGTACGTCGGGCTTCGCTACGTGGCGATCTTCATCGCCTGCTACTTCGGTGGGCGCTTCCTGCTCAAGCTCACGCCCCGGCAGTACAACAACTTGTGGCTGACCATGACGCCGCAGGCTGGTGTGGCGCTGGGTTTGGCCAACGAGGTGAAGGCGATGAGTGATGAATCGTGGGCTGCCGAATTCGCTGCAACGATCGTGGCTGCCGTGGTGGTGAACCAGATCGTTGGTCCTGTGCTGTGCGCGATGGGTTTGAGTCGAGCTGGTGAAACGCTGCAGGACCGTGGTGTAGACGAACATGACCAGAAGAATGACCACAGCACCAAGCAGCACGATGCCGAAGCCGGCTATACTGAGTTGGGGGAGCGTAGATCGACCAGGAGCAGGTTCTCCGTCTTCACCAACGAAGGTCCACAGACGCCGTCGCCATTCTGCAAGGTGCAAAACGCCGTTGTGATCGGCGACGACGAGACTGCTTTCGAGATTGCGCTCAACTTGTCACTCTACGGCGCGCATGTTAACGTCCCTCTACTGGACAAAGAGCGCGCCGGCAAGTGGAAGAAGATGAACAAAACCATCCTCTCCAGCGCCGTCAAGGGAGACCTCATCTCGTTCAAGAACACTCTCAAGGACCGTGACAACGCGCAGGCCATGTCGTCGGCTGACGTGATCATCTTCACGGGTGACGCCAACCGTACGCGCGAGAACATTCGCATGCTGAAGTCGTTGATGGGCTCGTCGCACCCGCGTATGATCGCCTTCGTACCGGACTGCAAGTTCAGCAAGGAGATGAAGGCGGAGGGAGTGCTGGCGATCCAGCCGTCCATTGCCTTGGCCAATATTGCGACGCGTATGGCGCTGCTGGACCAGAATCTGGCTGAGGCCCTGTCGAACGAGATCAGTACGACGAGCGACTTCAACACGGCCTCGTACTTCTTGCGGGCTGACAGTGGCCAACGTGAATCCGTGTCGGAGATGCGAATCGCGGGGCGCCATTTGGCACTTGGTCGAAGCGTGGTGAACCACCACTCGGTGGACTACGATCGCCTTGCGGAGGTGCTGACCGCAGAGAGCTTGCCGATGCCGCCTCCGCCCTCGCGAGTGTCCATGTTCGGTACATCCGCCGCGGGTTTTGACCCCTTTTCAACGCGCGGGGAGACCAAGTACCAGCACTTCGTCGTTGAGGACGAAGTGGTCCGTGGCGGCGCGGACCAGCCACACTCCACCCGCTCCAGCGTCCACTTCAGGATTGTCAGCACACCATCGTACAGTAGCTAGCGAGCGCCAGCTCGGTTGTGCATTAATTTACTGCTCGACTTCATTTGTATCACCGAGCGCCATCGTGCAGAGCTCTTCCAGGGGTGGAAGATGTGGTGCCCGCGCCAGCCGGGGCAAATAGCCAGGACGAGCGGAAGATGCCTGGGCGACTCGACGAGTGGGCGGGCTCCTGGGCTCCATGGCTGCTTCCTCCCTTTCCTGCCTTCCCGTCTCCAGCGCACAGCAATCGTCCGCGTACGATGCCGGACCCTGCGCGCAGGGCGCGGCGCTTGTGCTCGCCCGTTCCGTCCCCCCATGCGTGTCGCAGGAGGGCGCGAATGGAGCCCGATGCGATTCCACGATTAGCGAGCTGCCCATAGGGCCGCGCTTTGACTGCTGCTTTGTATTGCGGCCATTTGGTGTTTGGTTTCAGCGGCGGACCGATGCAGACCATCTCGGAGGACTTCGTGCCGCTGTCGACGCCCGGCGCCTCGGCCTCCGCGCACGCGGCCGACAGCAGCACGTCGTCCACGGAATACGGCGGCGAGCTGGCCGTGCCCGTGGAGCAAGTGCACCTGTCCGAGGAGGAAGGCGACGCGGCCGCACTTGGGAGCGACAGATCGGCCGGACCCCTCCCCGGCCAGGAGTGGCCCGGGGCGCCCAGGAAAAGCCTCGACAGATACGTGCCCGTGATGATGAGCGTCGTCATCGGCGCGTACTTCGGCGTGGGCGCGCGCGTGCTGCTCACCGAGTTCGCCGACGTCATGCACGCGAGTCAGACGGAGCTGCTGGAGCTGCTGGGCTTCGGCTACTTCCTGCCGAACGTCGCGGGCTGCTTCGTCATGGGCGTCGCGACTCGGATCAAGCCCGTGCTGCGTGGCCAGTACGAGGTGCTGCTGACCGGAGTCACCACGGGCTTCTGCGGCTGCTGCACCACCTTCGCCAGTTGGGACCTTGGCGCCGCTCTCATGTTCGTCCACGGCCGCTGGCTCAACGCCATCTTGATGCTGGCGGTGCAAGTGGCCAGCGCCATGGTGAGTCTTCGGGCCGGCTTCCACGTGGCCGAGGGGATCGTCCACCACCTCACGCTGCAGGAGTACCCGTTCCGCAAGCCGCCGGTGAACCTTGGCCAGCTCAATCTGGACCTGGACAGGAACATCAACCACTTCAGGGAGATCAAGATGCACACGTTCGGACCGCTCGTCGCGCGACGAGTGCGCGCTACGGAAGAGTCGCTGGCTATCGCTCGGGATTCGTGCATCGAGCTGATGGCGGAAGTTACGCAGGTGGAACACGAGCAGTATCCCGTTCACCACCACAACGCTGCGTGGATTCTGCCTGCGCTCCTCTTAACGGCGCTCTTCTGGGCATTAGCCTTCTGCGGCTTCGACAACTACCCAAGCTCGCGACTGCTGGCGCTCTGCTTGGGCCCTTTCGGTGCACTGCTGCGGTGGTACTTGTCACTGTACAATAGCAAACCTATGTGCAAGAGGTTCCCGCTTTTCACGTTCCTGCCGAACGTGGTCGCGTCGTGCCTCAGCTGCGGCATGGAGATCGTCGGCAGTATTACGTTCCAGAACAGCGCGTCGGCGTACCGTCATTTCGTGATGTTCGGCCAAGGAGGCGTCATGGTGGGCTTCCTGGGGTCTCTGTCCACGGTATCGACGTGGGTGAACGAGCTGGATGGGCTCTCGTCGCGGCGTTTATATTGGGCCTACCGCTACGGCTTCAGTAGTGTCATCGTCTCGCAGCTTGCGAGTGTTATTATTCTCGGTATATACGACGCGTACGGCAGCGATCCTCTCCTCGGATAGTGCTGCTTGGAGGCGCCTGCTATTATGTGGTTAGCGTAGGCGCGTGGTGCTCTTCAAGGGCACTGTACATGCGGCTGCAGTGAATAAGCTCGGTTCAAATGCCGTGTAAATGAAGAGTGGTTTACTATCCGATCATTGCCCACCGTAAATCCCGCGGAACCCGGCCACTCAAGGGTCCACATTGAACATCGCCCGCACAACAGCCTCCGTGTCGACACGAAGTTGTGACGATTCCTCGTAGTCGCGGATATCGGCTTCAATCGACGCTCTCGACGCCTCTCGAACAGCGCGCAGTGCAGCTTCAGCTCCTGCAGGGCGTCAATAAATTCAATCACCGACGCCAAATGAAATCCACTCCACTCGAAGGCCACGTACCAGCCATAACTGCGGCATCTTGCCGCGCCGAGACGCGGTTAGACTCGATCGTCGACAGCATCGCCTCCCCGACACAAATCACCTCCACTACAAGATCCGAGAAACACAAGCATCCGCTTTATAGATCGTCGTCACGGCCTTGACTCGCTCCAATCTGGTAGAGTCACCTCCAAAGCTTTGGAAAGTCTCCGAGCACTTGGCCGCGTCCTCCTCGGACAGTAGTCGGCACCTGTGTCCCGCACCAGCGCCACACTCCCTGGTTACTGGCTGTTTATCTAAATAAATGTAGTACTAACGTGCTCACGTGAAGCTGCGCTTGCCGTTGCTGGAGTACACGCGCAGTAGCCTCCTGCCCATGACGCACTTGAGCGGCTGCTCGAACTTGCGCTGGAAGAACCTGCCGACTCGCGGGTACACGAGCTGCGCGCTCTGCGTGCTGGCGTCCAGCGCCAACGCCCCGTGCCGCTTGGAGTGCTTCAGCCTCGGCTTGCTGCCTGTCGTGTCCTCCATCACGAGCTGCGCGCGGAAGTCCTGGCGCGTGGCGGCGGCCATCGCACTCGAGTGCGCACTTCAACTTGCCGTTCTGTTCCTAACTGCAATAACAGCAGTTATGGTTTTAAAAGTGATTTTCTAACGGCGGTTTCAACCTGGTAATGTAACGAAGCTCGAAAGAAAAGGTCAACTTTTGTATTCGAGAAGAGATGCCCGAGCTGTCCGCTGACTGGCCGCGCGTGCGGCGTGCGGCGCTGCTGCTGGCGCTCGTCGCTGCGTGCGTGGTGCCGAGTGTGCGCGCGCTCGAGTTCCGGTGGGAGGACCTATGGGAGACGGCCATGTACCACACGGGGCTGGGCTGTACGTGGGCGATGGAAATGTATCCAAGAGGCCGTTGCGTCGCTGCTGCCTACTCACTCCACTCGCTTCTATCCTAGCAGACCAATGCACATTCGTGGACAAGCCGTCGCAGGCGGTGCGCACCCATCTGCAGCAGAACCTGAAGGGCCAGGAGCGCGCTGTGGAGTCCGTGGTCGGCGCGATCGAAGCCTGGGAGTTCTCGTGCGTTGCCTTAGTGCTGCTGGGAGGTATCAGAGGGTGAAAGCTAATGCTGCTGGGTGTTGCTAACGCTAGACGGACGTCAACGAAAGATCGCGCGCCGCTGGTGCTGGCGATCACGGGCCCAACGGGCGTGGGCAAGACGGAAATGTCCAATTTGATTGCGGAGGCGCTGTTCAAGCGCAAGAAGAAGCTGCCCAACAGCGAGAAGAGGGTGCCGTCGGGGTTGCTGATCTTCCGGTAAGATATGCGGCGGTATATGTGGTGATTGGATTGGGTTTTGATGAACTTAATTGTTCGATCTGATGGTGATCGTGTGGAATGCTTGGCAGTGGAGAGGATTTTAGCGATAACTTCACGAACCCCATCACGGAGTACCACACGCAGATCAAGACCAGGCATGAGTTTATGGCGCGCTGCATTTTTTTTAGGTAGAGATCTAACCAGTTTGTTGATATTGCAGACTAGCTGAGCACTTGCACCATTGCTCTGGAAAAGCGGTCGTAGTGATAGATGAAGTCCAGAAGGTGATTCCGCACACGCTTGACGGTAGGAGATTTTTAATCTCGTTGCTTGTATGTTTTCCCCCCCACTTATTGTCTGCGCTGCTATCTGACTAGTTCTAATGGAGGCCGTAAGCGAGAGTTCTCAGTTTTCCTATTACAAGCACGGAGTAACCAAGAACATCGACACCGCCAACGTACGTAACCATGGTTATGAATTGGAACGTGTCTATTATAATTGGGATGCTTATCTTTCGTGTACATTCAGGTGATTTTTGTGCTGGTGTCAGACATTGGCGTAGCAGACATGGAGCAGGTCATGATTCAGTACGAGACTAGGGAAGAAATACCCACTGTGCAGCTAGAACGGGTGGTCAAGTCGGCCCTCGATGATCAGTGGAAACGATTGGACTTTGGCAAAATGATCGATCAGGTACGCAGTAGTTAGCTCTTCGTGATCACGCGTTCGGATCGGCGATAACACTTGAGTGGCTTCTGCAATTTTCCTTTGAGTAGGTTATTCCATTCCTGCCGTTCGAGCACCAGCACATCGTGGAGATCATTTCCCTAAAGCTGAGGCAGTTGGACGAAAACTATCGCGGCAAATACTGGCACCGTTTGTGGATCGAGGTACGCCCTGCGAACTTATTCTTCAGTGACAGTAGTGCTAGTCTGCTGACAATATCTCTTTCGCATGAACAGGATAATATTGCCGACTACATGTCTCGCCTGGACTCGGTACACTACAAGGTTCGCTCCGCAGTGATCAACGGCAAGGTCACGTCCAGCAAGGTGTTTGCCAAATACGGCGCCCGGGACGTGGAGACGGGTCCGATCCAGCTGCTCAAGTCCAAGTTGCTGCGCTACCTCCGCCCTTTCAACCCGGACGCGGAGATCCGGATATCGCAGGACCCCGACTCGAAGGAGGTCTCAATCGTGTCATGCGCTCCAGAGAACGCGAAGAAAGCGTCCAAGAGCAAGAGCAAGTCCAAGCAGAGCAGCAGCAATAGCCCAGTCGACGACGACTCCGACTCCGATGACGGCGGGTTCGTGAGCGTCGACTGCGTCACGAAATGGTCGGGTCGGTTCGAATAGCTCGCGTTTTGACATCCTTACAGCCTTAGCAAAAAGCTCTGAATTCACTGCAACGTTACATGTACCGAATTTTCTAGCATATTGCTAAGTACATATGTCCCACATTGTACTGTAATAAGTGCGTTTTCCTTCCAGCCAATAGGAGATCGGTATCTTGGGGGGAGGATTCAACAGCTCCATTAGGCGAAAGGGGGCGACCTGAGCACTTCTGTAGCTGCTTACTTACAACCAAGACAGCGATGAGCGGACTCGAGTCGTCGGAGATCTGGGGCGCGGAGGAGGAGCTGGACCCGGAGGTCCTGCTCATGTCGAACGAGGAGCTGCGGCAGCGTATCCGGCTGCTGGACAACAACATCCGCATCATGCGCAGCGACATCCAGCGCATCAACCACGAGAGCAACTCGCAGCGCGAGCGCATCAAGGAGAACAACGAGAAGGTCAAGCTCAACAAGCAGCTGCCGTACCTCGTGGCCAACGTGGTCGAGGTGCTGGAGCTCGAGGACGACGAGGACGAGCAGGACGGCGCCGCCACGGACGTGGACGCGCAGCGCAAGGGTAAGAGCGCCGTCATCAAGACGAGCACGCGCCAGACCATCTTCCTGCCCATCCCGGGCCTCGTGGACTCGACGACGCTCATCCCGAACGACCTCGTGGGCGTCAACAAGGACAGCTACCTCATCCTGGAGAAGCTCCCGAGCGAGTACGACTCGCGCGTCAAGGCCATGGAGGTGGACGAGAAGCCCACGGAGGAGTACAGCGACATCGGCGGTCTGGACAAGCAGATCCAGGAGCTCGTGGAGGCTGTGGTGCTCCCCATGACGCACAAGGAGCGCTTCGAGGCCATCGGCATCCTGCCGCCCAAGGGCGTGCTGCTCCACGGGCCCCCGGGAACGGGCAAGACGCTGCTGGCGCGTGCCTGCGCCAAGCAGACGGACGCCATCTTCCTCAAGCTGGCGGCCCCGCAGCTGGTGCAGATGTTCATTGGTGACGGCGCCAAGCTCGTGAGGGACGCGTTTGAGCTGGCCAAGGAGAAGTGCAAGGACGAAAACCGTGGTGGAGCCATTATCTTCATTGATGAGGTGGGTGTAGTTGGCCACGTGGTGGAGATACTTTGCCTACCTAGTGACTGACTTGTTGTGATGATGACTTGTGCTGTTGTAGCTGGATGCCATTGGTACGAAGCGATTCGGTGGCGAGCAGTCGGGTGACCGTGAAGTACAACGTACGATGCTGGAGCTGCTCAACCAGCTGGATGGTTTCACCAACAACACGAAGATCAAGGTGATTGCTGCCACGAACCGTCCTGATGTGCTGGACCCCGCTCTTCTGCGTTCCGGACGTCTCGATCGCAAGGTTAGTAAACTCAACCTAGTATAAATGACCAGGTTGCCCTGGGTGGTCAAGCAGACTGACGAACGTGTGCTGTTTTGTACACAGATTGAGCTGCCGCACCCGACCGAAGAAGCGCGCGCTCGTATCCTGCAGATTCACTCGCGTAAAATGAACGTGGACACAGAAGGTAAGCAGCGGGAAAGCTGCAGTGGCCACTAAAGCCTATGAAATCCGCGACTAATTCTGTTCCCGCTCATTCACCTTGCAGACACCAACTTCGATGAGCTGGCGCGTTCCACTGATGACTTCAACGGCGCACAGCTGAAGGCGGTATGTACACGTCGATCTTCTTTTTCTGGCCAACATTAAATTGACCATGTTTAATGTTTTTGCTGTAGGTCTGCGTGGAGGCTGGTATGCTGGCACTGCGCCGCGAGAGCAACGTGATCAAGCACGAGGACTTCATGGAGGGAATTTCCGTCGTAGCAGCCAAGAAGAAGGCTACCCTGCAATACTACGCTTAGAAAAAGAGCCTCGTGCGCCAAAGAAAATGGAAGTACACTGCAAATGAAGCGTTTGGTATTTCGATGAAGCTGTTTTATCACAAGTTCATGCACATGCAGTGCTCAACCTCCTCGTTGGTGGTGTATTAGCAAAAGGGCGACTGGAGGTCGTTTTGCTTTCGCGTTTGGCACACGGGAGTTTCCCAGGCGCCGTTTTGCATGTTGTATTTCAGTACTGCAGAGTGAGTGAGGTGTCGGATGCCCACTTGGAGACAATAGGACCGCGTCCCGACGACGCCATCACAACGCGGGCAAGTTATCGCGTCGGCGGGTGAGATGGCGGACTCCAAGGCCGTCCAGCTGAGTGATAAGTCCCTACCTCGCAATGAGTCGGAAGGACGCAGCTCGGGTAAACGGAAGTCGTATGACCAAGCAAAGGTGAACGCAGGCATCCAGGTTCGTCAACTGCATTCCATGAGAACACCCTTTTGCTCTAACTTGAGTGATGCATTACGTTCTCCATGTTACTCCAGCAAATAGTACGAAAAGGCTCAGCACACTTGCTGCAAATGCTCGACGCAAGCAAACCCGCGCCAACGGAGCTGGTAAGGAAGTTGCTACCCTTTCAAACCTAATGAATGATACATCGTTTGATGTCATGCTGATATGCTATGACGCAGGATTTAGATCTTGATGCATTCTACTACTCGCGATTGCGTCGTCGCACCCAATTTGCTCAGCAAATTAGCAACACTCTTTTAGCCGCTGGAATTCCGGCTGATGCCGCCGCTGCTGGAGCAGAGGAGGCGGCAAGTCCCAGCAAAAAGCGTGCTATCGGCATGACGCTGTCGCCCGGAGAGGAATATGAAAACTACCAGAAAGTGCAGTCCACCATAATGGGGGAACGCATAATTGAGGACGGCATGGATGCAGTACAAGCAGAAGATGACGAGGATGAGGAAAAAGAACCGTTGCCCCCCATCGCGTCAAATATGAAGGGCCCCTCGCTCAGTCGAGCAATGACAGTTAAGGCTAAAGCACCAAGTGACGATGCGGCTGAGCGTGAAGAACTGAGAAGAGCCGCTGGAATTACGATTCGAGCTGCTCCCTCACGGAGAAACGTTGCGCTTCACACGGAACGGACGATCCGTGGCAAAGAAGACCTAGCACGACCAACCACTCGCATGATAGACCCCCTTGGTCGCTTTCGTCTGGTCTGGGACCTTCTAAGTATCAGCTTCATTTTCTACAACGCAATCGTTTTGCCGGTAAGTTGGGAATCCTGACACGTTTTACTGTAAATTTCACCATCTGACTATACTTGTTGTATGCTACGTCGTTGATCCAGTTTAAGGCCTCATTCGATGTAAATGCCGACGACAACCCGTTCGAAAGTGTCTTGGACGTATTTTTTCTTGTTGACATTGTACGCCTTGGCCTGTTATACGCTTTCGTGTCAGTTGAACCAGGGACTAACAGCCTTTGTTTTTGTGGTGACCATGTGTAGATTTTGACCTTTAATACGGCTATCGAGAAGGATGGCTCCATTCGCTACAACCGGAGACTGGTAACTGAGCGCTACCTGCGCACCTGGTTCCTAATAGACCTGATCGCGGCATTGCCGTACGGCTACATCTTCACTGAGGATCACAACTACAGCGCCAGCTTGCGGAAATCCGTCAAACTGCTCAGACTTATCCGATTGCTGAGGTTGCTCCGTATCTCGCGCATCGTGCGGCGGATCCAGAATGCCATCTTTATTCGATCAACTCTCAGCTCCCTCATGAAGTATTGCCTCATGGTCGTCTTCATCAACCATTGGTTCAGTTGCACCTTTCACGCCATTGGGGCTTCAGACATCGAGCGCAGCTGGATCAAAACGATGGGGCTTGAAGAACCCTACGCGAACAAGTGGGATCGCTATGTCGCCTCACTATATGTCTCCGTTCAGACACTGTAAGAACTCGTCTGGTTTCCCATCGTGTACTTTGATATTTAACATTTTTATTTCTTGCTTGATGCAGGTCTACAATTGGCTTCGGTGACATCTCTGCTCAGAGTCCAAACGAGCGTCTGTTCTGCGTCTTCGCTATGATCGTTGGTGGAGGCTTCTTCGCCTACGGAATTACGAATGTGAGGAACTAAACCCAGTCGTTACCAAATTGAGGTTGATTTACTAACTTGTTATCGGTGTCTTCAGATTGTGGAGCTTGTCTCCAGTTTGACGATTCAGGAGACACTCTTTCGACAAAAGATTGACGAAGTAAATGAGTACATGAGTGCACGGGAGCTGCCTGTGAAACTGCGGATGGAGATCCGCGAATTCTACCACAACACTCGGCAATCGCGAGAATCCAAGCTGAACTCGGAGCAGCAGATTCTCAACGATCTGTCGTCCAAATTGCGCTCAAAAATTGCACTCAGCATTAACGACCAGTTCCTCCGCAAGTTTCCTTTCTTCACAGGCAGTGAACCCAATTTTCTGATGGAGCTGGCGTTGAATATGCGCGTGATTCACTTCGCGCCGCTTGAAGACGCCATCATCGAAGGAGAGATCGGGCACGAAATGTTTTTCATCTTCCGCGGTGCTGTAGAAATCGTCAAGCAGAACGTGCGCGTTGGAGTTCTCGGTGAGAACCAGTACTTCGGTGAGATGGCGATCCTGAGTCCTGACAATCGACGTACTGCCACTGTGAGAACGCTTTGCTTTTGCGAGCTTCGAATGCTCTCTCGCGCTCGATTTCTCGAGGCGCTGGCGCTGTTCCCAGCGATGCAGTCGAAAATGGCGCAAATCGCGCAAGTCCGTGCTACGACTTCGAACCAGGAGCCGGTCGCTGAGAAGCAAAAACAAAAGTTTTCTCAGTTCAGCGGGAGTAACATCATCGCCACAGCTGCAGCAGCGCTCTCTCTGTCTCCCCCGACAATGAAACCCGAGGCACGATCAAGCAATGCAGGGCGACCGCACGTTGTTACCCCTGCCCCTGTGACTGCTGCAGGGGACACACCGACGACGGCAGCGGTGACGAAGGTAGCACCACCGGCAACAAAGGCCACGACGATGGCGAAGTTCGCGCCGACACCGTCGCCACCACTGCGATCAGTCAGCACCTTCCAGCCCCCTTCGCCCACTCGCCACTCGTCAGCTGCACGGCTACCACTGGAACAACGGCCTTCAGAGCGATTCACTGCACACCTTCGCGCACCAACGTCCGTGCGAATCAGCAGCAACGTGCGTCGGAGCTCTGCTAATCTGGGGGCAGCTGGTGTGAGTGCAGGGATGTCTATTATGATCAGTGAGGTTTCTTCCTTACTGGAGGAGGCTACTCGACGACAAGACTTGCTCCTCAGCCACGTGCTCAAGCTGAAGAAAGACCTCGACGAGATTCGGAAGCCTGACCGGGAGCGACTCAGCAGAAGAGCGAGCGACAACCTGTCCGATCTCATTGCGAACGGCACCAAATAAGTTCAACTCGCTGATTCCCAGTCCTTGAACGAGCTCAGGTATCAGATGGTTGAAGGCTCTGCTGACTGGAGAGGGACAAGGTACGAGTCCAGGTCTGCTCGGTCGACTCCTTCTGGCAACTGTAGCCCTCTCTTACGTTCGAGCTGCTCTTGAAGCTGATCGTAGTGTGCAAAATCGTCCCAAGCGCTCGAGCGGCTGTCGAACTCGGTGAAGATCGAAAGAAACTCGTTCGCCTGCAGAGTAAACAGTCGTTTGAACACGAATCCTTCGTCAGAGCGCCCACCACTGGACAACCAAACAAACCTAAGTCTCACCTCCTCGAACAATACTTCCTCGCAATCCCGGCAGGACGTGATCGACTTCTTCGTGGGCGTGTTGCTCATCTTGACCCCCGTGAACACGTAGTTGGGCACGTCTTTGACCAGCAGCCACTCGACGTGGAAGAAGCCTTCGTACTTGAGCTTCTCCCAGAGCTGGAACTGCGAGTCGGTCCGCACACCTGACGTCATCTGAGCAACCCCGTTGAAGTGCTTTGTGCCACAGACACTAACTCAGCAGAGTATTAATACAGCAATGCAAGTCAATACTACCACACTTTACAGTGCTTTGGTGAGACCATACGCAGAGCCAACAGAATCCCACCTGAAGAAGAAGAGAACGGGCCTCACTGCCGTCAAGTCGCTCTTAAAGACCTGGTCCAGCAGCGCGTTGTGCAGCGTGGTGGTGCTCCAGATGCCGAACTTGAGGCTCTTGTGGAAGTTGCCCTCGCTGAACGACTTGAGCACGAAGCAGCGACACGTGGAAGTCGTGAACACCTCGCGCACTAGCTCTGCCTGCTGCGCGTTGATTGCGCGCCTCTCCTCCGCATCTTCCTCATTGGGTGCATCTCCGCTTCGAGAGTAACGCGGCGCGAGCTTCGGTCGCCGCTTCTTCTTCTGCTTTACGCCGGCAATGCTCGTCATCGAAAAATTTACAAATGGCAGATAATTCAACCTGGGTTGTATCATGTTTACATGCTATTTCATAGGCTTGAGCCGAAAAAGCAAGAGAAAGTACACAACATAACTGTAAAAAGGGGTTGGAAGCCTGACCTCATTGTCTGAAAAGGTGACAAGAGGACTTCGTTGAGCGTGTGCGGGATATTTATCAGCAGAGACCACACAATTTAGCAGCAGAGACCACAAACGATGTGATTGGTTAATTATAAGTAGGCCTGCCAAGGAGCCGACAGCCATCCATGAAAGCCGACTGTGATCGCACGCAACGCAATTCAAGATCTGACAAGCACTCCAACGACCCAACCAAGCTACCATGTCCACGCCTTCTACCCCGGCTAAGATTACCATCCTAAGCGGCCTATGGAACCGCGGCTACCACGTCGTCCGCTGCTTCATGACTGCTGATGAAGTCGCGATGGCTCTGGCGGGCGTTGATGCCGTGCCAGAGTCCAAGTGGTTTAGGTCGACGGCTACCGAGAAGCGCCGGGAAGCTGTACTGAATTTGTCTGATAACATCAATGCTAACCCACCTATTTACCGACTTGCCTACGAGCGTTTGGTGGATTTCGCGTCGCGCCTGCACCATGCGTAGGCTGTCGACAAGAAGTGAAGGCTGCCCACCCGAGGAGCTGCACCGCGATTTCCAGCCCACCGAGACCACGGCAGCCATCAAGAGACACGAGTGGGTACAGTCGTCGGTCATGGTTGCCCTTCACGAGGGAACGAAGCTACTAGTGGTGCCGGAGGCTTTCGGCGGGAGTGCTGTTCGTTCTAATACTGTGGAGTTAGAGCTCCGCGCAGGCGACATGGTGCTATACCGTGGGGATCTGCCCCATGCATACCCCGTGAGCGCGGACCGCAACGTGCACGTCGTGGCGCGTCTTCTGGTCGACGGTATCGAGCATACTGGTGCGGCGGAACCGGTTGCGTGGGGATTCTACCGCTGCAACTACTGCTTCAAGCGCTGCGAGTCCAAGCGTGCGCTCTCAAACCATGAGCGCTACTGCGACAGCAACCCGAACAAGGAGGAGGTCGCTCGGCAGCGCAAGGCCAACAACGACAAGGGGGCCTACTGCGCCAAGTGTAAACACCATTTCAGCAAGAAGAACTCCTACGACGTCCACAAATGCTAGGCTTAAAAAAAGTAGTGTAGGTGTTTATTTTAAATTACAATAAAGTCTACACAACTTGGAGCCTTACCACTTTCTTCTTCTTCTTGTAATACTAATTATTATTATTATTATAACTATTATAATAAAAACTAAACCTTAAAAAATGTATGACGCGTTTGTAGGGGATTTATGACCTACGCTAGGGAGATTCCGCATTATTTCTTATAAATTTTACTGACCTTAGAAATATGTTATTATTTTCACGCTGTTAATGTAAGACATCTGCATTATAAGTTTTATACTACATATGACCGACTATACAACTGTTCCATCCAACAAAACAAGTGAATGCAACTACAATAGGCTATTTTACTTATGAATCCGTCAACTTCATCATGGATATTTATGGTACTCTCATGGATCCTTCACGTTGATTCATGGATCCGAGTAGGTCATCATGGATTGTCGACGGCAAGATCATGGATCTAGGTTAATTCTAGTATATATATATGCTGACAACTTTTTTATCGGTAATCCTTTATTTTCTAGAGCTACAGAAATTTTTCGACAATAGTCGTCATGGATCATTCAGGTGTTTTCATGGATCCCGGTGAAAAATCAAGGAATTGCTAGTGTTCGGTCATGGATCCACGTGAAACCTCGTGGATATTATAGTGTGCACTCGCCGTTTCTTACAGGGATTCATATATAATATAGGAACCCTTCCTTTGTATACTCTATAAAGCAGACAAGTAATCATGGATAAACCGCTATACAATCATGGATCAATTCAGCGACTTATAGATAAAGCACTTTATGATCATGGATACAGAACGTGACTCATAGATATCGCACGGATGGATCATGGGTCCGTATGAGGACTCATAGATACAGCAAAGTAGATTCATGGATCCATACGACGTCTCGTAGATAAAGCATGAGTTTTATATGAACAGTCTTACTAAGGCTTCTATAGATTACATAGAACCTGCAGGATAACTACTGAGTACAATGTTTGTGGAATGTTTAGTTGATGTATAGAAAAATGCAATACCCCGCCCTTATCTAGCTTCTGATGACCTATCTGTAGTTTTTGATAAGCATGCAGTAGCGGCCCTGAATACCACAAGCGATGAACGGAGACTCGCCCACAACATACTCGCCTGGGACGATGCCGACACCACGCTCTTCTACTTCGCATGTCACGGTAGTGCATCGGCGAGTGTTGTGACTTGTGTTGCCGCAATTGGTGCAGGTATACTCGCTCCGAGTCGCGGCATCGGCAGACCGTACGTTCTCGTCAAAGAACTCACTTATTTCTTGGGCCGCATCGTCTTCGTCTGACACCTCACAGGGCTGTAAAAGGCTTAAAGCTGCCTTTTTCGACCGAGCAGGTCCTTCTCCACGGTTTTTGGTGCGTTTGGCAGCTCTAGTAACATCAGCAACTTCCGTAGATCGTTGGATCTGTCGCCCGGCTTGTAGATACAATGGAGAATGCTTCACGGCGCTTGTCATCGACAAAGTATCGTAGAGAGGCAATCGGATGTTGACAGCCGAGAAAGCATTGTAGAGTTTTGGCACCAAGTACGCCTGGTGAAAATAGTGGCATGTGTCGTACATCGGCAACGGAGAGTCTTTTAGCTTAGATCTTGAGAATATTACAGCTTGGATGTGCCGACATGGCACTTGCAGCTGCTCAGATACCATACAACGTGTACAGGTACCTTTGTCCATATCCACCTCAGCCACAATTGTGTTTCCACAGACATTCCGCTCGTCAAAAGCATCAAACACGTAGAATAGAGGTTCCTTTGCCGGCAAAACGTTTTGCTTGGCAATGTGTTTCTTCTCTGCGTCTAGTAGTTTTTTTAGCATGGGGGGTCACATCAAACTTCGTTACGTGCCATTTTTCTGAGCAAGTTCAATCGTTTCTGGCAAACACTAACCGCACGAGTACAAAACGCCATCAGCGAGCTGAGTACCAAATTTTCGCGTGCACGAGTCCAGAGTAGGCCATTGTTGTCACCTTCGATGCCGCTAGTAGTGCGCACCCCGAATAGTGGTAGTGGATCCCCATGCTTAGAAACAGTGCCCCAAGATTCATTCAGCCACGACAATTCCGCGGGCGTTGGCTGCATGTTACCAACCACGCACCGTCGGTTGGACGGATGCGACGAAGGTACTCGAGTACGTATTCTTCTACCACCTTGCCACCCGCACACTTAACAATGCCAGTTGGGTATCTTTTACGTAAGCGATCAATCGCTGCATCGTATGCCTCCGAAGTCTCCGTGGATTGCAGCTCGAAAATGTCGTCATTCAAACGCTCTTGGTTCAGCTTCAAAGACATAAACCGGTCCATGGTGTTGAAGCGAATATGCAACGAGCAGAACTTGAGATGAACCTGTAGACCGAGTTGGGCGAGGAGCACTTCAGCGCCAAGCTGTTTACCTCTATCACAAAAGGTAGGCCGGTCGTGCAAGTGTAACCCAGCCGCTACACATTTGCAGAAGAACCAGGCGCAATTGTCGACAGTCTCCTTGTGTATATACGCCACGGCAACAAGAACATTCTTCTTTCTCCATCCTTTCCAATGAGGGTCAACCATATTTCATTGTAGCCCGGGTCCTTCATATGGGTTCCATCACACTCCCATACTGGAAGGAGGCTATCTTGTAGCTGGACAGCGCTTCCAATCGACCAAAAACACCTAAAAAATCTGCCTTCCGCGTCTAGTTGAAGGCACACTCTGGATCCAGTGTTTTTGGCTGCAAACTGGGTAAGAAAACTAGGTAGTTTACCGAATTCGTCGACGGGATCATTCTTTTGGCTAGCCTTCGCCTTCCGAATGGCACGGTACACTAGGGAAGGATGCGCAGAGAGGTCGAAGCCGTCGATTTGTTTAATACTGTTCACTACTCGTGCCTTCGATGTGTCGTGTCCTTCCACGATGGCCTTCCACGATGGCGGCCTTGAACCCTGGTAATTCCACAATATCTTCAAGCATGAACTTCGGTACACTACAGCAGCACTGACCATGTTGAAGATCGAGCTTGCCAATATACCAGGAACCTTCCGGAACGCCGGACAGCTTGGTTTTGGGCTTCTTGAGCTGTGTGCCGTTTGGGGTAGCTGAAGAACCTCGCTTCTCTGTCAACGTAATAGACCACGTACAGTTGCTATCAATGCAATACCAACGCTTCTGACAACCCGTGCCTTTGTTGCGCTCAACTCCAAAGTTGTTATTCAAAGCATAACGTCTGATGAATCGCCCGGCTTCGGGTAAATCAGGGAAATGTGCGTGCAGAACTGGTTCGTCGAGACCATGAAGACGCAGCAGATCGAGCCTTGACCTTGGCGCGGTCATGGTTGCAGCCCGGTCCGTTTTCGCGACTCAAAATAATTAACCAATCACATCTTTTGTCGCGCTTGTAGGCTCGGGCCTTTTCCAGTCGCTGAGCCTTTAGGATCGGGTACCGCTTTTCCAGGCACGCACGCTTGCCAACTTGCTGCCGCAGACTTGAGACAGCCAAGTTGGTGTTGCACAGGGGGCAGTTGGCACGAGGAGACACCATGATGCTTTCAATAATGAGGCACCTACTTATTTTGTTATCGCTGATGTTCATTTTGCTCGTCCTCCATCATCTTCGTATCTTACCCTGTCCTTAATTCTTATCGCGTTTTCAAGTTCTGATAAAACGTTATTTTTGACTGTGGCAATCTGCTTGCAAGTTGATGCATTCACCTACTTAGACTTTTACAAAAAGACTTCAATCTACTTGAATTACTTAATTCCTCGTTGAGCGTGTGCGATTATAGGTAGGGCTAGGTGACTTTGTCGTTGGTCGACTCCGACGCTTTTTTATTGAAATGGTAGGCGATACACAGATTTAGGGGAAGGGTTATGCTCTATGTATGCTGGCTTTATGGATACATTTCGCACCAGTGGAATCCACCACCTGCGCGCAGCCCGCAAAATCATGGTTTCACTATCGAATCTCCCGCGAAGTGCTCAGATCTCCCGGTGCGACAACCTCCAAGCGCACGTGCGACGACGTCGGTGTAGACTTTTGTAATTTGATCCAATTTGATAATACCTAAATTTATTTTGATATTAGTATGGATATATCAGAGCTTCTAGCGGACTCGCCGGAATACGTCTGCGAGACGTGTCTCCACGACTTCGCTCGGTCCGATCACCTTCGTCTGCATCAACGACGATCCTGTCGAGGCGTTCCATCTCAGCCATGTCAGCTGTGCGAGATATGCTGGCAGTGGGTGAAAGGAAATCGCCACCATCTCGGGCGCCACCAGCGAGGCTCCCGGTGTCTTCCACTGGGTGACCGTATCGCGCGCCGCAATCAGGTCGCTGATGCGAGGCGCCAGAGGGATGCGGCGTGGCACCGCCAGAGGCGTCAACAACGCCGCGATCAAGCGACTGATGATGCCCCGGATGATGCGACGGAAGACTCGCCGAACGCTCCTGCCCTATCCCTTGCGACCAACAGCCGGGATCACGAAGAGGCGTCTGGTTCGGCTGAACCGCTGCGTAATCAGCTTGATGACCTACTTTACAGCAGCGATGGGGAAAAAGGCGACGCGGATCGGCAAGAAGGCGTAACTGACGACACGTCAACACCTGTACGACGTGAAGATGTTCTAGACCTGCTTGAAATTGCTGATTTCGAGTGGAATGAGATCGATTTGGGCGCTCCGCCTCCGGAAAGGCAGGAGGATCAAGCCCAGGGTGACAGCCAAGAGCAAGATGGGCAAGACAGAGTTGAAGATGCAGCAGAAAATGTGCAATGGAGAGACGGTGTGACCGACTGCAACATCTGTCTCTTCCCTCTCGACAGCAAGATTTGGGTGTGTGAGCGTGAGACATGCCGCCAACCGTACCACCGGGAGTGCGTGAAGGAACAAATCGCGATTGACGCACGGTGCAGCAACCGCCGAGCTCCAATTCATCTTGACGTTGAAGATGACGAGGTTTTGGTTGTCAGGCATGTGGATGCGCCACCGACGTGCACGGTCTATAAGCGCGTCGTCACTGGAACGATGCTCGAGGGTCCGCAGTGCAGCCACATCTTCGACTACGACTGTTTGGTGCAGTACAACGCGCAATTCTTGGGGAATCTCAGGAGCAGGGATTTGAAGTGCCTCGTGTGCAATCATCCCTTTCCCATCCCTTCTGAGTTTGTTTCCGACGAATCTGATGCTGAGGACGCTCAAGCTGGATATCGCGGCAACGGCGACAACGCATTCGACTATACGGAAGACCAGGAATCGTCGCAGGAAGAAATGACGGGTGGAGTGACCAACGACGAAAACGTCGTCGAGTACCACCAGAGCGACTTCGATAGCTCCTCGGACTCGGACGGGGACTACAATCCCGGCGACGAAGCCTAGGGAGTTGAAGGTAAGGAGGAAGGGTCCCGCATGCATAAAATACATATCAGATAATTGCTTTTTTATTGATGGTGGTACGTATGCAATCATACAATCAAGGACGACTAAAGTACAATGGAGGACGACAGTACAATCAAGGACGACAGTACAATCAAGGACGACTAAAGTACAATCAAGGACGACAGTACAATGGAGGACGACTACAGTACCATTAGGGACGTCTATAGTACACTAAAGGACGACGGCAGGTACATCGCGTCTACTCGCTCGAATCGCAGCAAGTATCTTGTTGACCGTCAACTCTCCCTGGACACGGCCACCGAAATCCTTCTCGAACAAGTCTTGGTCATCGTCGTACTCTGCTCGAATAAACTCCGCGATGATCTTCATTCTGGAGAGGCGCGACCTGTGTATCTTGCGTTCATGTGGAGGCATGCCCACGCCGGCTCGGTACTGGTGACACGCACGATTTGGATGCCAGTACTGATGAACGTAGTCGCGCCACGATTTGGCATCCGGAAGCTCAGACACGAGGCGAGTGGTTTCCTCAACTGTTCCTTCACACGTAGCAATAGCGTCTTCAGCGTGTTCACCGTCCTCCGTTTCTTGAGTGTCGTTTTGTCCACATCCGACGCCCTGTACCATACCACGGAGACCTTCCAGTAAACCGTCCTTGAGCTCAGCGATGGTCGAAGGATGCAATGCTGGGGGAACTTCATCAGGGGCTGCATATGTGGGGTTGAACTGTGGATCGTCGTCTGCATCGGAGTACGTGCGTCCGTAGTCAATGTTTTGCAAACCATCCAGCGACGCAGCGGTGATGCATGCGTCCGCATCTGGAGCCAGCGAGTCTCCAAGCCGATTCACCTCTCGGTCCATGACATCATCGAGAAGATACCGCGTCACCGTCTCCGCCTTCTCACTCGGTGCCCACCCTACCCACCACTTCACCAGCTTCAGCGACCAGTTTCTTTTTTCAGGAGCAAACATGAACCGGTACTGAGCACCTCCCCGACGAAAGCAGTGCGACGTAAACCAGATCTCGTCGCCAAGAACACTCCTGTTGATTCCAGCAGCCGCAGCGACGATGTTGAGAACTTGCGTAAAGTTGCTGTCCTTCATTGGTGTGCCCCACTTGATCCCAACTTTGGCAAATGGAACCCTGCCGCCATTCCCAGCGCACCGCTGTCGCTTAGCTCCACCACGAGGAATCTTCGTCAGCGAGGGGAATGCGTAGTCGTCACTGCTCCACCTGTGATGTAGCTCCGTCTGCGCGTGGTGGGACCATCGGCTCAGATACGTCAGCGCCTCAGCGGTCTTCTCTTCCTTCGGGAGAAGATGCAGCGAGTACGTTCGACTGGCAAGGGGGTCATGGTCGGTCTTGCGGTCACGGATTGTGAAGCAGCCAAATCGAATCGCGGCCCCGGTCATACGAGCCTTGCGTCGTAGCCCAAGTTGTATGTCTCCCTTCTTCATCGGCAGGACTTCGTTGATGCGGCACATCCCGTAGAAGGCGAGAGAGCATACCGCTGAAACCCACAGTCTCATCGTCTCGTTGAACATCGGGTCCGACTCCAGGAAGGCGATAATCTTTGAGAGCATGGACAGCGACATCGGGGAGGCGCGCTTGGGGGTCCTTTCGCGTTTGTTCACCTTACTCAACCCGGCCAGAATCTGCGAGATGATGGCAGTCTTGGCGGGATTACCTCGCGGGGTAAGAGTTCCGTCCGCGGCCGTGTCGACAACCCAGCGATCGTGGGGATGGCCGCCCGCAAGCATCTCCGCTTTTGTGTAGTGCCAGCTGATCGCAGCGCGAAGCTTTTCAGCCGGCCACTGGCTTCTGTTGGCCGCCGCTAGTTGGTGGATGTACGCCGCGAGGACTCCTGGGAGCTGCACGAAGCGCTGCTTGAGTGGGTCGGGATAGCCTTCAGAGATACAGAACGCGGCGAATCGACGAAGGCTGCCGCGTGCGTCTCTCGCGCCTCTGATCCGCAAACTTGGCCGCGGCGAGGGCCGCTTGGTACAGGCGACTGGTTTCCGGAAGCTCTATGGTGGGTCACCGAGTGCTGCGGTCTGTGGCGAGAGCTGAAGTGAAGGAATCCATCTGTAGGGACCCTGCTATAATCGTCTTCAATTGTACTCGCGTGTCGTCCCTCATCGTACTGCTGTCGTCCCCGAATGTACTTCCATGGTACAGACTTTTTGGGGCTACTGTACACATATGAGGTGCCTTGGCTTTTGGGGGGGGGTATTTGTCTTTGACACATGGCTACAACAACTGTAAATTTTAGCCAATCAATTCGCGTCGCACGACAGTTTTGGTCCCTCGCACGGCTGAAAGAAGTATTGTGCTTTGCACGAACTTTGGCATGAGATTATGGGCTCTAAACCAACGAGCAAATCCTTCCCGGTGATCATATATCGCAGCCTAACTCTAAGTTAAAGTTAAGCAAATCAACCGCCAGTATAAGGTCCCCGATAGAATGGCGCCAACTCCTTGCATAATAGTAAGCACCGATTTCGGGGGGGGGGGGGGGTTCTTTCGCTCTCTTCGTCGTGGCCTTGCGCGTTAAACCAAGCTCGAATTTCAGAGCACGGCATATAGTAGCAGTAGAAAAATTTCTACTAGAAATGTTTGGTAGTGCAGGAACGCTGACTTTAAAGCTGCTTGCAGCTCCTCGATATAAAAAGAGGGATGTTCTTCAATATTGTAGACGTAGTTTAGTACGATAGATCGCCAACGCATGTCAATCAGCGACTAGAAAACAATCAGACAAAACGAGCGAGTTAGAATTAGAATGTCAGGGACGTAGTATTGTCGGATTTACTCCCGCCATTTAACAAAAGTGAGCATAACTCAACGTTAACTCGTTGTCTTAGCAGCTATTCTATCTTAAATCGACGAGTTAGCCACCTAACTCAATGATGGGCAAAACAACGAATTACCTGGTTGTTTAGACAGAAAGCATGCAATGCACAATACATCACGTTCGAAAACCACCTGTTCCAGTGGGCCCAATGGACCGCCATGCGGAATATACTTGCTCTCGAAGTCGAAGACGAGCTCACTCGAGCCATGAGCAAGCTGCACCGTGTCACAGCTAATGCCGTAAAGAAGGCTATATGAAGGCATCGCAATCAAGATCGGCCTCAAGCTGCAGAGCGAGCTGGGAACGGCACTGCCGAGGCAGAGCCCCACATAGAAATAGACATTTTAGAAATCCGATTGTATTAACTCAGTAACCTTCGGTGCACAACTAGTGGCAGTAGTACTTCTTGATCCCAGCCACAAGTCCGTATCAATCCTGTCAGGAGACGTAGCCAGCGCGTGTCGAAATATTCCTGTTCACACCGACCTTGTAGGTCGCTTTGCTGGCGTTATTCGCGAGCTCACTGTGCTCATTATTGATTTTTCCTGTCCGTTCGGTTGGCGTGGCTCGCCCCGCCAATACTGGATACCATGAGGAGCGGTCAAACATATTTACGGTGCCAGCTCATCCGGTTGGTAGCGGCAGCCAACTCATGCTTCAGCCATTTTTGATGCCAGGACATGGTGCGATGATCGTATCTGTATCGAGCCAGATGTGGGTTCGCGCCGTGGAGAGGCAAACATAGCGCTTCGCCGGGCGATGATTGCGTTTTTCGGCCCTGAATCGATTAATGAAGCGATGTTCACGGGTACGAAGGCAAGAGATGCTTGTCGATCCCGCGCATCTTCTTGAGCTTGTGCTTGACACGCACCTCCCACGTGCCCTCGATCCTGGATCTATGGCGCTCGTGGTACTTTGACGGCACGGTAAGTCAGTCGAGGAGACGCACTTCGACGATTCGTCGGGCCAAAATACGCGCACCGTGGTAGTCGACCTCGTTCTCGAGCGAGTTGGCGGTCGGGTCGTTTACAGAAGTACCCTCTTACCTCGGCGAGGATGTGCTGAATTTTGATGAGATGATTAAAGCACAAGTTGACCAAGCTAATGATGCCTCAGCACGATCAAAGGGGCGGCTTGAGTTGCGTACTTGCACGTCTTCTTTGAAGTTGCCCTTTATTCGCCTCTTCGATGAGTGCATGTGCGCCAACCCTTACGCAAGGAAGCTCATATCGCAACGGGCGCGAGGACACTTTCTGCTCCGATAGTTGTTTTGTGGGAATTCAATTCTTGAATTTTGCCACCAACTACCAATTTTAGACCACATGTTTTTATTACGACTTACACAACTCTATGAACGCACCATTTAAACTATATATAAGCAAGATTATGGTTACACTAGATGGACGACATAAGTTCAGTGCGAGAGTCTCCAGTTCTTACTGTCTCCTCCAGTGGTTAATTTCCAAATGGGTCCGTCAAGGCCTTTATGAATCAAGAGCACTGGTGGGTCGTCGGCCTTCACGATGGAGACGTCTCGCTGTACCAGATCGCTCGAATGACCAGTCGATCTCACAACGGAGCGCGAAACGTCATGAAGTTGGATCGAGAACCGCAAGAAGACAGCGGCCAAGGGATATGCGAAGGCCAGCATTTAGCGAAATAGAGTAGATTTTTATCAACCGCGGGACAGACCAACTTTTGGATCAACATTTTAAGCGACGAATTAAGTTAATTCCTGATACATGATATAACTCGTATGTCAAAATTTCCAAAAGTTGATCCTTCTCGTGGTGTTGTTGCCTCCATAAACTTATGTTATATATGCAACATTTATATTTACTGAACACCATTTTAGGAAAATGCCGCGCCGCTCCAAGACCTACCCCAAGTGCAAAAAGCGTTTCGCCACTCATGGCAACATGATGCGCCACCGGAAGAAGGTGTTTGCGTGTGGCAAGCAGTTTGTTAAGCAACGTGAGGAGCTAGCTAAGCAAAAGAAAGCCTACCGTAACCGCTACGACTTTCTCAAGCTTTTCACGCACGCTGCACAGCGGGTCTGTCGTGATTTGGACAAACAATTCATTCCTGAAGCTTTTCAACTTCGTTCGATAGAACCGATCTGTTACCTGATTATTGGTTCAACCGCTTGTAATCCTGCCCGGGCTTTGGAAGAACTCCTTGTGGATGTGCACCCATACCTCCTGCGGACTGAACGTCGGCTGTTCAAGCGCAAGTCCGTCGATCGCCTCCAGAATGTCGGCCGAAAACAGCGGCGGCTGCAATGACCTCGTCTCGTGGTCCTCCGGAAGATCCGGGTGCCCGTTCTTGTGGCGAGAGTCCAGTGCGTTCTCTAAGATGCCGTTGAGTTGGTCAAGCTCTTGCGACTGCGTGATGCAGCGGCGCTCAGCTTTGTTTTGAGTTTGCAGTGAGGCGATGAGGTCGGCGGCTTAATGGATCGTTCGGCGTAGGCGCTTTAGATGGCTATGGTAAATTGCTGTTAATCATTGATGTTGTTGAGCAGGTTTGCATTGTTATTGTTACTGATGCTTTGTTGTTGTTGTTCTTGTAGGTATACTATCACCCATAACGAAATGTAAGTGTCATTTAAGAAAGAATGATAATATAATCTGTATGATGCGCTGGCGTGATAGTCACGCTAATTCGTTTCGTATCAAGTAGAATTTATCTTTATTGAATGCAAGTAAGCCACAGTAAAATCACTAGAGCCCCTCTAAATGGAATCACCCATTCAAAGAATAAGAAAAAAGGTTTTCCGCATGACGTCCCCATCTCCGTTTTGACGGTGCACAAACGATTGAGCCGACCTGCCGTGTCTCACTAGTAGTACTTGAAGCCATCAGGACGATCAAGGTTAACTTATTTTCATCTGAAAAAGGCATAAATCTTGTTTCCAAAGCTATGCAAGTGTAGTTACAAAAAAAGGACACGGTTGAAGAATGTATTCTTCTACCCGGATAGTCTTGCGAGCCATCGTGAGGGGAAGCGTGCGTTCACCTAGGTATATATCGTAGGCTCTACATGCTCCAGCAAACGCTATGCCACGAGTACCGACGCATAGACGAAAAACTTTCCTTGAGCTCGGCGGTTACGTACTTGCTTGTGCCGCCCCACGCACGACTTGCCAAGGTGTACCACCGCGCTAACGGGACGATAATTGTGGTGTAGGGAACAGCAAGTTTTGTGTCACACTCCAAAGCCGCAGTGGAACAACGTACCAGGAGCCACGTTCTACTCGGCGGGATGACCGTCCGCCGAGCTCAGTGGGCAAGAATGCGCTGATGGACCGCTGAACTCGGCTGATGGTGTCAGAAACGCAAGGCACACCGGCCCCGACCTGGTGACACGTGGCAGACCCAGTGATGAAGACCCAGCCGAGTTCAGGAAGGCACTGGACACGCTTAGCCGAGATCATGGGGAGTTCAAGCCGCCGAGCTCGGCTAAACGGCACCACGTACCATCCAGATACGGTAACCGGGTCCAATTGAGTCCGGGAGTCGCCCAGTTGAGTCCTAGGGTCGCTCCGCCGAGTTCGCCGTGCTACCCGGACACCTTATCCGGCTCCACCGAGTTCACTGGGTTATCCGGACATCTTATTCGACTCAGCCGAGTTCGCCAGGTTATCCGGACACGCCGTATCCGGCTCAGCCGAGTTCACGGGGTTATCCGGACCGGTTATCCGGCTTAGCCTAGTTCAAGCGTCGCCGAGCTCGGTGAAGAGTCGGCCACCGCCCACTTTCATTTGGTATTTGTATAGGAGCTTAGGAATAGTGGAGGCGCCCCTTCAGGGCGCCCGACAGAGATAACAAACAACAGAGCTGAATTTTCTAGGTCCACAACACGTGCACGCGCTTCCAGTAAGCGGCCGGATTATGTCTGCTGTCAGCACCCGAGAGGCATAGCTTGTAGGGTGTTGACTGGTAGCGCCAAGAGATTAAGGTCGGCCCGGGTTGGGCGCGTGTCTCGCCAAGCGCGAAAGAAAAGTCTCGCCACCGCTGCGAGCCGGTGTTCCCGTACGTCCCGGGCACCGATTGCTGAGTCGAGAAGTCTTTGCTCTCGGCGACCCGTAAAAGCCCGCGAGGGCCGTCGTCCGTCCTTTGGCGGAGGGCACGGGATTTCTAATTCCGGAGTCAGGTACCTCAGCTGGCTTCCGTGATTGACTGGCTTGGGGTACTTGGTCTCGGCGAGGACGAGACATCACTGTCCCGGAAGGGCCGAACCGCTGGAGGACATCTCAGCGCAGGCCAACAAGGGCCGACTACCTCGGCTGTTGTTGTGTTTGTAGCTAGGGTGCCACATCTGACGATTTTGTGCGTGCTACTACACCACATAATTCAGAATGGAGATCACAAGCCCGGCTGCAACCAAGACCTTGCGAGAGACATTTCAAGCGAACGACCTCCGTCAGCACCTGTTCTCACTGGCGGTGTTCGGTTAACAAAGTCATTTAGCTGGCCAAGCTCGGAATGCCGACTTTCAGGTGGGCACTCCGGCTGTTTTCCATACAAATCGGTTCTGAGACCGATTAAGCTGAAATATATGGTTGCTATTCGCCATGATAAACGAGTCTTACATAGACATGCGAAGGCTTAATACGAGTTCAGCTTATATAAGTAGGATTTTGATCGCATAAAAAGACCGAATATTTGGTTCATTTAGCTCCTGGTCAAGTCAGTTTGGAGCGTTGTCAAGCGGAAGACGACGCCGACGTTCACGGATACTCGCGCCGCGGATGAGGCCAACCGGACGACGATCGTAGCGCTCAATCTGATGCTGCTGTCCATGAGTGCTAATTACTATCATGCGATTGCGGACTGCGAGGATGCGTAGTCCAGGCTGAACTTGCTGTACGGCGGCACACAGGGGGTTGGTGCATCTACCTGAAGTGGCGGTTGAGTTGTTCAGTATCGCGATGGCAGAAGCGACAATGTTCTACATCACTGCAACGAGGCCCTAAACATCAATACCAAGCTCAACACAATAGGGGCCAAGATGGAGGAAGAGGACGTGGTTATCATCTGCCTGCTGCGTAGTCTGCCCAAGCGCTACGACAACGGCGTGCTCAATTTGGAGGTGAGGGCAACGGGGCTGAAGATGAACGTCGTAATCAAAGTGCTTACCAACGAACCCATCAAGAGACAGGGAGAGAATACTGCACCAGTGAAACTGAAGGCGCGGCTACCGCGCTCAGTGTTGAGCCCGCCTCCCGCTGTTACACCTACTGCGGAAACCGGGGCACGTCGTGTTGGGCCAAGTCGAAGGATGAAAACCGTGATACACGACACGGTCGGTCTGATCGCTGTGCTGACACTGTTTAGTGGATCAATGGTGTCAACGACGACTACATCGAGTTGGCTGTACCCGTGGAGTGTGGACTTTCGACGGGAAACCATTTTGTCGATACGTGGGCATTTGACAATGGTGCCACACGCATCAAGTCGTGCGACAAAGGTGAAGCAAGCAACCATGACCACGCTTTCCTCTTCGGCCAAGATCACGATGCTGAGCGGCCTCTGAAATCCCGGATACCGCGTCGTGCGCTGCTTCGTGACTGATGAAGAAGTCGGCATGGATCTGGATGCCGTGCTCGTGTCCAAGTGGTTCAGGTAGACAGGTACCGAGAAGCGCCCACAAGCTGTGCTCAATCTAGCTTATGACATCAATGCTAACCCGCCTATATTCCGTCTTGTCTACACTGTTGGTGCACGCTCCAGTGGCCGGCTCCACGAAGTGCTTCGAGTGAGTCACCCACTTATGGGTGTACTTCATGCTCTTGAGCATGTGGTTGTTCTCGAGCGTGTGCAGCAGGTTCGTGGACACGTAGGAGGTGAACTGGTCCGACATGATCGCCGTGTGCGCCTTGATATGCTTTTTGATAAGCGGACTTAGCGTCTTCTTCTTACGACTATCGTACGTCAGGACACCAAACCAGCGACCTGACGTACGATCAACGCCGCCGAATAGCCTGCAGTCCTCGTGATGGACGGCGCGGTTTTACTTGCTTTTCGTTTTCGGACTGGTTTCGTCGATCTCGACGATGTGGCTCCCCCCCCCCAACCTGTAGCAAAACTAAAATAAAATTATAAGTTTCAACAGCACTGGTTTTGAAAAACAAAATCGCACCTGCATCGGACGAGCAAGCATCTCCTTGCTGCAGATGTTCCTGCAGTAGGAGTACCATTCGGTGACGGTCTTGTCACTGACGGCGACCCACGACTTGGCCAAGCCGGCGGGGAGGCTTGACGCCAAAAAGTACATGAGGCGGACGCACTGGCAGAGCTTCAACTTCGCCTTCGCGAAGAAGGATCCGGTACGCAGGCTGCGCTCTTTCCTGCAGGCCTTGCGCGAGCACCGCCACCTCCAGCGCTTAGCGCGATCCTCCGTGGCCCCCGGTACTGGCGGGCGCAGATGCATGTCCCCGTCACACTCCGAGCACAGCATGCGGGCAACCAGCAGCTCCTTGGCTTGGCAGAAGGCCAGGCAGCTGCGCTCGTCCGCCGTGGCCCTCATGATGTCATCGGAGGTGAAGGCCACGCGGGTGAGGTGGTAGGCGTACGGGGAGGGGTCTGGGTGCGCCGAGGCGGCCGGGGCAGGAGTGCTCATGGTAGTGGAGAGGTGGGATCAGGCGGTCGGAGTGGGTAGGGCTCTGTTTGACAATGACCGAAAGTGTTGGGCGGGTGGCGCCATCAAAGTGGGGCCGTGGGTACCCCTGGCACGAACTAGTTGCGATCTACTAGCAGCATTTCTAAATTTTCTATTTCTATGTGGGGCTCTGCCTCGGCAGTGCCCTGGGAACCTGTCGATGTGCATTACGTTATTTGCACGGTTTACGAGGCAATTGTTTTCGTCGTCACTCACGTCAATGACGACAGGACTGGCAGCCCGGAGTTGAACTGGTGGTCGGGGACGAGGCGACGTAGCCAGGGGCAGTTGCAGACTTGGTGGTGTTGCTGGGCTGCTTAGGTGCGTCGAGGTCACTGAACGCACGGAAGACGTGGGCGATGCTGCAAAACGGGCTCGACGTTGACTTGCTCAGACTTGTGGCGGATCCCGGAACGCTGATCAAGTACGCGCAGCGCCAAGAAAGCGATCGCTTGTCGTTTGGCTCTGGCGTACAAGCGGTCGTATTCGCGCTTCGCTCGACGAGCCTCCGCAAGTCGCCTCTCTCGAAGTTCGGGAAACCTGCGTTCCAGACAAACCCTACCGCCTGCGTGGACACGAATGCTGGTGGCGGCTAAAGTTGCTCCGAGGGCACTCTCGGTGCTTGGGTGCGTGTCGGGGCATTGATAAATGCAAAGTGATAATCTACTTAGGTGGCTGTTGTTGAGCTCAGTGCGTCCTGGAATTCTTACTTTAGAATGTTTCAAGTTCTTATTCTAAATTCTTAGCGTTCTTAGCAATACGTTCTGGAATTAGAACGGACTATCTTAAGCTGAGACTCTGTGAGTCTGTTACGTCTTCCTCTGACGCTAAAGCTACGACAGACCCGCTGCACTTGGTACCACTTGTAGTCAATCCGACACCTGAGTCTGTATAGACTGACTCTCTGTGGAGAATGGAGCAGTTCGCTCACTTGCCCCCGAACCAGCAGGATGCGCTTAAAAAGCTATGACCTTGCTGGGCCCGGAGGGCGGCGTGACGCAACTTGCACAGCAAGGCCCCGACGCGGTGAACGCGCGTATCGAGGCGTTCTCAAGCTACGAGAATACTCTCCTAGAGCATCTCCAGCAGAGGATGGCGACTGCCGCGGCGCCCCAAGCGCCCCCTTCGTCGTCCGACGCGGGAACAAGACCCAAGCCGCTCATGTTGAGCGTGAAGACCTTCGAAGGCACGGAGGGTGAAAGCTTGGACCCGTGAGGTTGAGATGGCTATGAGCTCAGCTCTACTCCGGACGGAGTCGCAGCGCGTTGCACTAGCTATCTCGAAGCTCGGTGGGCGAGCGAGAGAGCGGGCACTAACGTCTGGGACGTCGGTCGAGGTGGCCTTCCCGACGTGGGACCAGCTGAAACAGCATTTGTCCCGAGTGTTTGCTCCGCCTAACGAGGCGTATCGCGTGCGCTCACGCTTCCTGGTGACCAGGCAGAGCAAGAAGAGAAGGAGTTGATGGACTATGTCCAAGAGTCGAGAACTCTCATTGCTGGCATGTCTGCGGACCCCCTGCCGGAAGCAGTCACCGTTACGGTGTTCATGGAGGGCCTCCGCACTGGCGTTTCCAGGACGGAGGTGTTCCGAACCCACCTGAGCACTTTTGAAGAGGCTGTGAGCGTCGCATTGAATGCGGAACACAATTTTAAGTCATCGAGACTTGGGTGGAATGCGTCTTACGCTAGCGCGTCGAGTGGTCCGGAACCCATGGACCTCAGCTATGCTGAAGACGAAGAAGCCGAGCTTCGTGCTGCTGAGCAGCGTCGCGGTATCCGCAGATGCTTCATCTGTAGTGACACCCGTAACCTTCGTGCTGGGTGTCCGCTGCGCCATCAGCGTAAGGCTTCGTCAAGCCGCTCTTCGAGTTCGAGCCAATGCTCTGGTTCGTCTCGGGGAAACGAGAAGTCCCAGTAGGCGCGGGGCGGCCTCCTGGGGAAGAACTAAGTTCTATTGAGCCTCGGCGAGGTGGAGGTTGACAGGACTTAGCCCCGAAGAGAGCCGTACTCTCTAACACGGAACGTGTATGCAAGCCGGGCTTGCTAGTTGTCCAAGCTTGGGTGAAGGGCTTCACGAAGCCATGGACGATTTTGATCGATTCGGGAGCGTCGGGTAACTACGCCCGGCGTTCTACAATGGACGGAAGTCAGCTTTATGCTGAGGCGCTGGTAGCGCGCGGGAGTGACATCGTCACTGTTCGTCTCGCGACGGGCACTCGTGTCACGGTGCCTAAGGTCCCTGTGGACCTGGGCGTGAACTTTTTGGATTTTGATAGCGTGGAACGCTGTCTGGTCTTAGACCTCGATTCCAGATATGTTCTCATCCTTGGTATGGCGTGGCTGGAACGCCACGAGCCTTGGATCGATTGGAGGTCGAAGATCCTTGGTGCTACGCATTTCTCTCCTGGCGGAGCATTGGCGAGTCATGAACCCACCTCTGCTAGGAAGCGGAACCGCTTTTGGCGCGAGCACTGATCAATGTGCTGGACATCGGAGTTTCCGAGTTGGTGGACACTGAGTGTGTCGAGAACGAGCGTTCCGAGCGTGGCTCGCGGACGGCAAGTGGTGCGGCACGAATTCCGCAGAGCGAGCGTGCGTCTGAGGTGCGTGCCAGCGTCGGCGCGGTCGGCACGATGCCGAAGAGCAAGGGGCTTTGCCCGCATGAAGATTGTGGAGTGGCACGTCATCCACTGAGTGGAGGCTGCGGATCGTGCAGCTCTTCGCTGAGTATCGGTAAAGACACTAGAGCTCCCCTGGAGCTGAACGAGGTGGTGACACCTGGCGTCAAGACGCACGCGAAATTACGGAGCTCTTCAGGGCGGATGGTGTCCATGAAGAGGAGGCAGCGCCGCAAAGCGCTGGCTGCGAGACGCAAGGCGTCTGCGATCTCACGAGTCGAGAAGGGCGTGTGGAGCGGTCAGGCTCCACGCGAGAGCGAGCAGCTCTATACAATCGTGAATGGAGTGACGGACGACGTCGACGGAGGTATCAACCTCGACGACATGCCCTCACTGTCTGCTCTCCTGGAGCTGGACGAGATGTCCTTGGCCGAGTTCGGCGAAGCCTTGAAGGCTGGAGACTTGGCTAAGGTAGTGGTCATACGACCCGAAGAAGAGTTGAACTCGTCCTCGCTTCTGGATGAAGCTGTCTTGGAAGACACAAATAAGGTGTTGAATGCGCGGAGCAGATCGGCGATCCTGAAGGACCCGTCGGATCCCTTGTATCAAGTGGTAAATGATTACCAGGACGTCGTCTCGAAGGAGCCGCCCTCGGGGCTGCCTCCGGATCGAGGTGTTCGACACGAAATCGATCTCGTTCCGCTGCGTGACGAGGCAGTGGCCCTTGCCGAAGGAACAGTGTGACGTCATTGACGCGTTCTTCCGTGCGAAGCACGAGGCGGGTATGGTGCGTGAGAGTAAGTCTCCACACTCTACGCCGACGTTCTGCGTCAGAAAGCCGAATGGCAAGTGGCGTATCGTGCATGCTTTCAACAAGCTGAATGCCGCTACCATTCCGGCGCAGACGCCGATTCCTCGGAAGGATGTTCTTCAGAACAACATGACAGGATGTACGATGTACAGTGCGCTCGACTTGGTCGATGGATATTACCAATTGCTCATGAGGACGAGCGACATTCTTCTCACTGTGGTGAGTACTCCAAGCGGCATGCTCTGGGAGTGGTTGATGATGCCTAAAGGGCTTTCGAACGCGCCAGCGACGTTTAATCGTCTTGTGACGCAGCTCTTCAGACCCCATCGGGCGTACGCGCAAACGTACTTCGATGACATCTTTGTCCACAGTACGGAAAGACTGATATAGAGAACCATGTGGAGCACCTGCGTGCTGTGCTCGAATGCATGCGTCAAAACAAGTTGTACGCCAACATTGACAAATGCATCTTCGGAGCGGAAGAGATCCCCTTCTTAGGGTGCTTCATCGGGAAGCGTGGCCTGAGGGCCGACCCGGTCAAGGTCAAGGCCATTGTTGACTGGCCGGTTCCCAAGAGCCAGAAGCATCTTCGCAAGTGGCTTGGCTTGGCCAATTACTTGCACAAGTACAGCGAGAACTACGCTGAAATGGCTCGACCACTCTCCTATCTCCTGAAGTGGTGTTGGGACACCGAGCATCAAGATGCGTTCGCGGCCATTAAGGACAATCTCCTTCATGTGCCTATTCTGGCTTTGCCAGACCCCGCTCGTCCGTTTAGTGTCGTCTGTGACGCCTCGGACTTTGCCATCGGCCGTGCACTGCTGCGAGCAGACGCCGAGGGGCGCGAGCGCGTGGTGGCGTTCAAATCTCACCAGTTGAAGGCTGCGGAGAAAAGCTATCCTGTCCATGACAAAGAGCTACTTGCGATGAAGTATGCGCTCGTCAAGTTCAGGGTGCACCTGTTGGGCTCTCAGCCGTTCGTGATTTACACGGATCATGCGTCGTTACGCACTGCGACTCAGTCACCTCACCTCCCGCAAAGGATGGCCCGTTGGCTGCCCATCTTCGCGGAGTACAACTCCGAGGTGAAGTACAAGCCTGGCAGGCAGAATATCATTGCGGACGCGCTGTCGCGCAGGCCGGATTATGAGCTGGCTCATGTAACGACCGTGACTCGTCATTACCGGATTTGATCCGAACGGATTATGCCAAGGACGACACCTGTGTCGCGTTGCTGAAGGCTCTGGGGAGCAAGGAGTTTCAAGCCTCGGACATGAAATTGTCAGCGCGGCTGCGCGCGCGGCTACACCGTTATTCCCTCCATGGTGGCCTGTTGGTCTACAACACGGGCCCCGAGGATACGCCCCGCATGGTCCTCCCTCATGATGAGGATCTGAAGTACCGCATCCTCTTTGAAGCACACGACACGCCGCTGGCTGGCCATCTTGGCGTAAGAAGACCTACAGCTCGGTGAGTACCCACTACTGGTGGCCGAAGCTGTACAAGAGGACAAGCACTTATGTGCGCACGTGC